TTAGGTTGTATCTTGAGTCAATCTCTTTTGAGATATAAAAGAGGATTGAGTAGAGAGGAACGGGACCTCATACCACCAAGAAAGAAGAGCTAGGAGTGGAGGGCATCCTTTGGACCCAGGATCCCTGCACTGAGAAGCTCCTAGACCAGGGGAAGATTGATGACAAGGACCTTCCCCCAGAGGTGAAAGAGAGAAAAACCTTCCCCTGGAGCTGGTACTCTGAAGTCAGACTTCTAACCTCCTAAATTGTAAAAGAATAAACTTCAGTTTGTTAAAGCCTACCACTTGTGGTATTTCTAGTATAGCAGCACTAGATAACTAAGAATACAGCATCTCAAACCTTGAAGTTAACTGCTGTATTTATTGCCAGTAGAAGGCCTGCTTTCCCCTATTGGTAGCTGTCTTTAGCTATCCTAACACTCACTTCAAGGACTCCCAAATTTCTAGGCAACAGCTACACCTGGGATTTCTGCAAAGCAGGAACAGTGTAGTCTGGTAGGGGGAAAAAAAAGATTAAGGCAGACTGGCATAAACAATAGGGTTGGAAAAGTGCCTAGAGTAGCCTATTTCAATTCTGCTTTGTGTCATGTCATGCCTAGGGCATAGACAAAGCACACATAGTAGACTGTTAAATGTTGGATTTTCCTGAGGGCATTTAGATGATTAACTCCAGGCATTTAGACTCAGGTTCCTTTCAGTCACAAAAGCCAGGGTTGTTCTTTAAAGCTTTCATTGCATATTAATGATTGATTATATTAGAGTCATCATGAACACTTATTATGAAGGGAGTTGGTTCTCTGGAAAATAAAGGCTGCAGTATAATCTAGTATGGTATACAGTTATCTTCAGATTCTTAAACATAATGGAAAAGTTTCAATACCTAAATGTAGTCTTCAGATGACCCCAAAACTTTATTTTAGCCAGCAGCCTAGAAAAGTATAAAGTTTGCAGGACTAAGAAGACTGGTGATAATAAATGAAGAGTGGTTTAGAATAGCAGTGAGAATTGGCAACCTTGGATCATTCAACTAGTTATTGGTAGCTGAATATCTCATTTAAGGGGGCCAAGATGATAATGGAGACCATTTGAGTTAGTACGTGTTAGACTTGGGAAGAGAATTCCAACCTTGATACACCCTTTACAATTAACCCCTAGTTTAAAGGATCTCGAGACCTACCTTATTCTTGAAGCAGTGTCTGTCAAGAATCTGAAGGGAAATGTCACTCAAGGAGGAAAAAAAGCTATCTGTAAGACAAAGCAAGGCCAATACCTGAAATTTGAGGAGAAGGAAAGTATAGTACCTTTTAGTCAAGCGATATAAGTCACCTTGCTGTTCAAGCTATTCAATTCTTCTTTTCCCACCGTAGTGTTCTATGGTTTCTTGGAAGTTTTTGATGCCATAGTTAAGTCTCGGAGAAGTGGTTCTCAATTCTGGTTTTGCACGAGAATCACTGAGTACTTTTAAAGTGACAGATCCTTTGGCCCCACTCTAGAACTATTGGATCAGAATCTTCAAGGTTGGGGTCAGCTAACTGGCTTTAAAAGAGTTTCATGGGGGATTCTGATTTGCAGCCAGGGTTGCGAGGCCGTGCTCTGGTATAATCAAACCACCCTTAGAAGGGGTTGATGAAGCCTCTTGATAGGAGAAAATGCCTCATGATCTTTCCAGTGAAGTTTCTCCAAAGACTACCAGTTGGCATGATTAGTCCGATCTCTAAAACTGGCCTTTTTCTTTCTGGGGTGCCAAATAGAATCCCACAGAAAGTGACAATGAGCTCACTACATACTCAAACCAAATTTTTACTTTATTATTGTTGTTTCGAATATAGTGTATGAGGTCTTGAGCAAATGTTTTACATATACCATACCATTTGATCACTTCCTCAGTTGTATAAGGATTACCACTGTTCTATAGATTAGGAAACCGAATCAGTGGTGATAGATAGCCTAAAGTTGCAAATATTAAGTATTTGAATAACATCATTAATATTATTTGAAGTAATACATGTAAAGCACATAATAAATGTTAGGTCATTACTTTACATATACTAATTTATTTAAATCTACACAATAATCCCATGAGATGGGAACTATTATCAGTATCAACTCCATTTTACAAACAGGGAAACTGGGTTAGAGTTGGTAAGTGATATGGTTAAGACATGAATTCAAGGTTTATGACTCCATAACCTCAGCTTTTAGCCGCTAAGTCATAAGGCTCAGCCCACTATACTCAGCTATATTTGAGTCCAGTTTTTTCTGAGCCCTGGTGGCGCAGTGGTTAACCAAAAGGTCAGCAGTTTAAATCCACCAGCTGCTCCTTGGAAACCCCATGGGGCAGTTCTACTCTGTCGTATAGGGTCGCTATGAGTCGGAATTGACTCGGTGGCTCCAGGTCTTTTTTGTTTGTTTGTTTCTTTCTGATGCCAAGAGATATAGGCTTTTCCCATAAACCAAATATAGGGGAATAAGTGTTTCCAGGCTCCAGCAATCTTACAGTTCAGCTGGAGAAGCAGTATAATGTGAAATGGGGAGTTAAATGCAGAACCTAATTTAGATGTAAACTATGTGGTATAGACCAAATGCTGTAGGAGTTCAGCAAGGACTGGTATTGGGACTATTGATCTAGGTCCTGTAGAATGACAGGATTTGGATCAACAGAAGAAAAGCATACAGAAGTGAAGTCAGAAAGGCAGAAATGAACACAGTGTATTCACGGTAGATTGAGAATATGGTCCCTGCTAGGTTGGAGAGAACATATAAGGGTACAGCAGAAAGCAAGATTGGCTTGGCACAGTCTTCAACAAAAGTTTCAGTATAAGGATAGAAATCAAGTGAGAAAGATCCAAGCCAATAGAACTATACTAAGCTATACGAAGCCTGGGGCGGTGCTGTGGCTCAGTTTCCTAGATGTTGGCTTCTTACTGCCTGCTCTTTATTCTCCCCTATCAAAGTGAAAGACCATTAGAAGTCCCACAAATCTTGGTAGAACCTGGGTTTCTTTGATACAACAAGTGAATCAAATATTCGAGGCCAATAGTACATTATGACAGGCCCGCAGCTTTCTAGGGATGCAGTCCAGTAAATAAGCTGGAAGGAAGATTCTATTTTCTTAAAAAGCAAAATTTTCTTTAGAGATTATTATGGATTGAATTGTGTCCCCCCAAAATATGTGTTAGAATCGTAACCCCTATACCTGTGGATATAGTCCTGTCTGAAAATAAGCTTTTCTTTATTATGTTAGTGAGGCCATATCATTGTAGGGTGTGTCCTAAACCTAATCGCTTCTGAGTTATAAGGAGCAGCATAGACACGGAGACAAGCAAACACAAATGGGAGGAGGTAGATGCTATGCCACGAGAAGATTGTCAATGAACTGAGGAATGCCAGGGCTTCAGAAGCTGATACAAGGTTATTCCGCTAGCACTGACAGAAAAAGAGCCTTCTGCTATATGTGGTACCCTGAATTTGGACTTCTAGCCTCTTAAATTCTGAGAAAATAAATTTTCTTCTTTAAAGCCACCCACTTGTGGTATTTGTGTTACAGCAGCACTAGGAAACTAAGAGATATTTGAAATTTCACGTGTTAAGCATTGTCATTTTCTTGTTTCTTTTAAAAAGTACATTCTCTTGGGAGCAAACATATTGTCGAACTACTAATGCTAGTAAGCTCCCCCCCTGCCCTCCCCAGATTTACTGGGGCAATATGAGAGCCCTGAGTGTAGAAAATGGGAATGGTTGAAAAGCAGAGAAAAAGGATTGGAAAGGAGGTGGATGTGAAAACAGCTCTGTCTGATTTAGATTTTTTCCCTAGGATGCTCTGCTTTTGGCCTTGAAAGAAACTAAAAAATGAGTTAAAGATTTTCTTGAGTTAAGGCCTGATTGGGATGGCAAGAATACTACAATGCTAAAATTTATTCAGACTTCCAAGATTTAAGGGCTATTATTAATTTCTCCTTGTTAATCTTGGTTAATTGGTTCTTCTTCATGGGTCCTGTTTCCCAATTTTGTCTTAAATAATTCAACAAATAAACCAGCATATTTGTTGAGTGAGTAGCTATAGTGTCCAAGAGGTATTGTTGTAGATCATTGTTTATCAAAATGTGTGCCGTTGAACACTTGTACCCTAATCTCCTAGGACACTTCTAGGCCCCACCATAGACCTACTGATCTTGACTCTTTGGGGATAGGGGTTGATCTCAGTTTCTTAAGCACCTTTAAGAACTATTGTATTAGAACAGTGGTTCTCAAACCTGAAGGTTCATTGGAATCACCTGCAGGGCTTATTAAACCATAGTTTGCTGGATCCCATCCCAGAGTTTTGGATTCAGTAGATCTGAGGTGGGACCTGAGAATTTGCCTGTCTACCAAGTTCCTAGGTGATGCTGATGCTGCTGGATCACACTTTGAGAATCACTGTACTAGAGCATGGTGAGGGATATAAAGAAAGCTACAATTCTGTCATTAAGGAACTTAAGATATAGTTGGGGGAGATAAGACATATACTTAAAAATAAAACAAAATATAATATTATATATAATATTTGACATTGGACAGGGTAGTTAGGAGGAGATGGGATTTAATCTTTGACCTAAAAAATGGATAGAACAAAGACTTAAAAGACCATAACATGGGCATTCTTGATGAGGGTATAAAAGAAGGAAAGTATAAAGGTGTATGAGGATGGGGTAGTGGGTACTTGTTTGGTGTAAAGTTTTACATAGAACAGTAGTGGACGGGTATGGCTGAAAAGGTTAGTGCCAGACTGTGAAGACTGTGAGTGCCTAACATGTTTCCCCCCTACTTCATAGTCCTTACCAAAAATGCTGCACAGTCACAAAGAGGAAGTTTCCCCTGCTGAGTGTGCAGAGAGGAAGAACAAGGAGGCTTCGAGGGCCTGTGAGCTGTAATGACTGCTTTCACCCATGAGCCAATTGCAGCGGCAACAGGAAGACCAACGCACCAACCAGTCTAGGTCCCTCCGCCCCTAGGGTGTCAACGCCCAAGCTGAAAGTGTCTGGGGAGATCACGCATTGTTGTCCGGATGCTGCTCTCTCTTGGTGGCCATCATGTCTTTGACCTCTGCCTACGAGCATAAATTAGCAGAGAAGCTCACTATTCTAAATGATCGAGGTCAGGGGGTTCTCATCCGTATGTATAACATCAAGAAGGTAAGTGTGAGCAACTGGGCTAGTACTAATTATTCTAGCAATAGTAGGGCAGGAAACCCTGGGTTCAGCGGGTCCAGCAGTTAGACTCTCTTCTCTCCTACTGGTTTAATTGGCCTTCGGCCACTCTTGGGTTATAGAGGCCAGGCAGTGCTGGGAGGAAGAAGGGGAGGTTCTTTTCAGGGTTTCCCTTTCTAAGTATGATTCTTACCCCAGTGGGAGTGTCTGCTTTTTGCTGGGGAAGGCAGTAAGGGGGTGGGTAAGAAATGTGTTCTGAGTTAGGTGGGTAAAGGTCTGGGGTCTAGAATTCTGGCTCTTACTATTTACTGCTGACTTCGCACACTCTGAGGGCATCTAAAGTTGGGTCTTCTGGCAAAAACTCATCTTGGAGGTACTTCCCTAAAAAGAAAAAAAAATTAGATAAAAAGGGTAGGTACTTTCTGAGGTATTTATAGTCTGGGACAATTCATACTAACAGAAGGGCTGGGAATGCTGGGCAAGGGCTGTGTTTGGGTGTGTGTGTTTTTAGGATAACCTTCACCCCCGCAAAAAAAAAAAAAACCACCCAAACCCACTGCCTTCGAGTCAATTCTGACTCATAACGACCCTATAAGACAGAGTACAGAGTAGAAGTGCCCCATAGGGTTTACCAAGGAGTGGCTGGTGAATTTGAACTGCCAACCTTTTGGTTAGCAGCCAGGCATTTAACCACTGTGCCACCAGGGCTCCATGTTTAGGATAGGAACTGTGAAATTGGGAGAAGTTGGTGGCAAGAGGTAAGTTATGGGCTGGGCTAGCCATAGGGAAGGAAAGCGATAAATACAGGAATGGGAGTGGGGAATTTCTGAAAGAGAAAATAGGAGACTTGAGGGAGGAAGTTTGTATATTTTGTAATAAAACAAATCACCAGGAACGTGGTTTCTCTGTTCCCATGCCTGCTGTAAATGCCCTTTGGGATGAAATACTTATATAAAAATTGTGACCCTGAGTTGCCCATAAAGTCTAACTTCTGAGCAGCTGCTCCTTCCGGCTTCAGTTGAGGGCGGGGAGAGAGCTTCCTCTTTGTGCTGGAACCAAGCAGACCTTAAGCTTTACCCAGCACAACAAGATGCCAGGTTGTCACTTAGCTCTTCTGAGAGTTGGCTTAATATTCTGTAACTTGTTCCTGCTAGTCTCATGATTCTGTAATTAATTTCCAGATTCCTTTTTCCTAAGACAGACTGTGAGAATGAATGATGCAGGAAGAGTTATGTTTCTGAAGGGTGGGAGAATAGGTTGAAATATAGTATGGTTTATCTGTGCAGACTTGTTCAGACCCCAAATCCAAGCCACCTTTCCTACTGGAAAAGTCCATGGAATCATCTCTCAAGTATATCAACAAGAAATTTCCCAACATAGATATCCGAAACAGCACGGTAAGAACTCAGTCTCTCTTATCTCTCTTCTTTCTCTGAAATAACTCTACTCTTGGATGTCTCGAACTCTCCTCTTTTGACTGTCTCTCTTCAAATTAGGCAGGGGATAGAGTAGCCTTTTTTAGTTTTCCGAGCCTCAACCACATGACTTCAGGTTGTTGTAGTCTTGAGAATTCTGAGAGATAAGGTGGTATTCTCCTAGGGTTAGCTGGAGCATTACCCCTTCCTCTACTGCAAGATTTATGAGAGCACTTTCTTCTCGTAGAGGAAGATAGCTCTATCAACTCAGTAGAGTGCATGTATTTTATTGTTGTTCCTGTTTTCCACTCAGTGTTTCTTTGTTATTTGTCTCAGAATTATTTATCAAGTGAGATATCACTTATGTCTTCTTCCTTATTAAATGTTGGTTCTAGATTTCTCACCCATCTTACCTGTAGTATCTTCTCATTCTGTTTCTTTTGATTTTGATATAAATTGTAACCCTTGTAAGCTAAAAGGGAATTTGTAATCCCTTCTTCTTTAGCCTTCTATATCTGGTAAGGATCACATGCAACCATACTAGCTAGATAATTTCCTTTGTTTAAAGATCTTCAGGGAGTTGAGGATTTTCCAACTTTCTCTGTCAGTGTGTTCTAACCCTCTCTAAAAGTATATAATAACCTATATTCGTCTTGGGTTATTTTGATCAATTATATTCTTGTTTTGCTTTTTGTTGTTCTTAGCAACATTTAGGACCAGTACATCGGGAAAAATCTGAGATAATTAGATTCCTCACCAACTACTACCAGTCATTTGTGGATGTCATGGAATTTCGGGTGAGCTCTCTCTAGCCCACGTCTCCAGCATAAGCACTATCCTTTAGAGACTATTCCTTCTTTAGTAGCTGTTCATTTATGTTGCTTAGTACAGTTACTTGAAAAAAATAAGAGATATACTGATATCTAAGTTATATTGTTAAATGAAATCAAGTTACAGAATTGCATATGATACAATCATACTTTTATTTAAAAAGTATATAAGCTTATATATATATAATGCTAGTATATACATAAGAAAGATTTGGAATATTACATAATAAACTGTTAAAAATAATTATCTTTGGAAGTGGATTGTGATTGGTTTCAATTTACTAAGCTATATATTTTTGTAGTGTTTAAAAACTTTAAATATTTTTCTCCCAATATTTCATTTCAGACCTTGCAAGAGTAGTGCAATGAGTATTCTATTCTTCACCCGGATGTACTATGTGTTAGAGTTTTGCCACATTTGTTTCTCTCTCCCTGTTTTTCCCCACCACGAACCATTTGGGAGTTAGTTGCAGACATCATTCCCCCCTCCCCAATACTTTAGTACGCATTTCCTAAGAACAAGAACATTTTTTTAAATAACCCTAATACAGTGATTGTACTAAGGAAATGTAACTTTGCCGCAGTATTATTCGCTAATATGCAGCTCATACTCACCTTTCTTCACTTATCCCAAAGATCACACATTGAATCCATTTGTCATGCCTCTTTATAGTCTTTAATATAGAGTAGTTCCCTAGCCTTTATTTGTCTTTATTTACAACATTGAACTATTTGAAGAGTTTGGACTAGTTATTTTTCAGAATATCCCTCAGTTTGGATTTGTCTGATTAACAGTTTTTGGTAGGAATGCTGCATAAGTGATATTTTGAGTTTTGATAACCATAAAAAAACTTGCATGCTAAAGTTATATAATACACTGTTTATGAAGGGCAAATTGATGATGTATTTCAAAAGTCTTAAAAATGTACACTTTTTAATATAGCAATCTTCCTCTAGAAATTTATCTTAAGGAAATAATTAGGTAGGAGTGCAAATATATATGTACAAGAATGTACTCTGTTGCATTATTTATGGTAGTGACAACTTGATAATAATTGCTATATCCAATAATAGAGGTGTAGTTCAAAGTTTAGAGTATAGGCCTATAAATGAAAATTATGCAGCTGTTAAAGATAATATATATTTATATTAATTGGCATGGAAAAATGTTGTTTACATATTGCTTAGTGTAAAAGCAAACTACAATACAGTTTAAGAAATAAGATGTCACTAAATGTTTATTGATATAGATAAACATGCATATTAAGATTGGAATTTCTGATTGGTAATGAGTAGTTTTAAAAACTAATTCAGATTATGCTCCTGTTTTTTAAATTTTTCTACAATGAACATGTATTATTTACATATTCAGGAGATAATGTAAAGTTTAGCCCACATTAAAACCCACCAACCCATTGCTGTCGAGTCAATTCCAACTCACAGTGACCCTATAGGACAGAGTAGAATGGCCCCGTAGGTTTTCCAAGGAGCACCTGGTGGATTCAAACTGCTGACCTTTTGGTTAGCAGCCAAATTCTTAACCATTGTGCCACCAGGGTTTCCTAGCCCTCATTGCCTCTGAGCAATTCACGTTTGTGGTGCTATTAGAGTATTTCTTCAGATAATAGGAACAAGGGTCGGGAGCCCTGCCTTCGGTGCCCTGTGCCTACCCTAAGGAGCTAATCCAGGACATTCATCAAATCACACAATGAAGACAGAAGTGGGGACACGGACGACTGTAAGGTCTGAGGAAGGGTCAGGTCAGAGGGTATTAATCTTGGAACTGAGAGTCATGGTTAGGAAGAAGCTAGACACTGGTGAAGGCAATGGAAAGAATGCTGGGAACGTATTTAAAAAGCCTCTTACTAGGGAAAGTTGGAGTCCAAAGGGGATTTTTAGGGCATCTGAATGGTTGCTGTGCTGGTAAAGTTCTGATCCCAAACTGTTTGATATGGCTTATTTAGGGCAGGAAAGGAAATAGGCATACCGAGGTAATGGTGCGTTATAAAGTAGGTAGGCATTGAATCAGACAGATATTTCAAACCTCAGCTTTACAACTTTTAAGTTGTGTGACTTTAGGCAAAGACATTTTCTTTTCTTTTTTTTTTTTTATTGTACTTCAGGTGAAGGCTTACAGAACACATAGTTTCTCATGAAACAGTAGTTGTTTTGTGACATTGGTTAACAACCCCACAACATGTTAACCCTCTCCCTTCTCGACCTTTTTTTTTTTGGTGAAAATATACATAGCCAAAGATACACCATTTCAAAAATTTCTACATGCACAGTTCAGTGACATCGACTACACTCTTCCAATTGTGCTGCTAATCTCACTTTAGAGAAGGCTTACAGAACAAAATAGTTTCTCATTTAACAGTTAGTACACATGTTGCCCTATGACAATGGTTCACAACCTCACAACACATTAACACTATCCTTACTCAACCTTGGGTTCCCTATCACCAGCTTCCCTGTCCCCTTCTGCCTTCTGGCCCTTGTCCCTGGACTGCTGTACCTCATTAGTCCCATTTGGTTTTATGGGGCTGTCCACTCCCAGGCTGAACGGTGAACCTCGGAGATGACCTTACCACTGAGATAAAAGGGTGTCTGAGGGCCATACTCTTGGGGTTTCTCCAGTCTCCTTTAGGCCAGTAAATCTGGTCTTTTTTTTGTGAGTTAGAATTCTGTTCTACATCCTTCTCCAGCTCTGTCCAGAACCCTCTGTTGTGATCCTGGTCAGAGCAGTTGGTGGTAGCCGGGCACCATCTAGCTGTACTGGACTGAGTCTGGTGGAGGCCTTGGTAGCTGTGGTCCATTAGTCCTTTGGACTAATCTTTTCCTTGTATCCTGTTCTCTTCATTCTCCCTTGCTCCTGAAGGGGTGAGACCAGTGGAGTATCTTAGATGGCTGCTCACAGGCTTTTAAGACCCCCGACGCTACTCACCAAGGTAGAATGTAGAACATTGTCTTTATAAGCTGTGTTATGCCAATCGAGCTAGATGTTCCCCGACACCATGGTCCCAACAGCCCTCCACCCAGCAATTCAGTCCCTCAGGGAGTTTGGATGTGTCTATGGAGCTTCCATGACCTTTCCTTGCATAGGCAAAGACATTTTAAATCCTAGTTTTCTTATCTATAAAATGGGGAAATAAAATTTAATACATGGGGTATTTGTGAGGATTAATGAAATTATGTATGGAAGGCATCTAGCATAGTGTTTAGCAATAATAAATAACAAAATGTTAATTCAGTTCCTTTCTTTTTTTCCCCCAAATTTTATTTATTTTGTTGTTGTTGAGAATATATACAGCAAAGCATACACCAATTCACCCGTTTCTACATGTACAATTCAGTGACATTGATTACATTTCTCGAGTTGTGCAACCATTCTCACCCTCCTTTTCCAAGTTGTTCTTCCCTCATTAACCCAAACTCAGTGGCTCCTAAGGTTCCCATCCAATCTTTCAACTTGCTGTTGTCAGTTTGATCCCATACAGGTAGTTCTTAAAAGAGCATAATGCTCGAGGCAGGCTTTTTTTTCACCAGTTAAGCTAATTTATTGTTCGGTTTTAAGATGACTTCAGGGGATATTTTTGGTTTAAGATTTAAAAATTATCTCAGGGCAATAGTTTCAGGGGTTCATCCACCCTCCATGGCTCCAGAAAGTCTAGAGTCCATGAGAATTTGAAATTCTTAATGCATTTTCCCCCTTTTGATCAGGATTAGTCTATGGAATCTTTGATGAAAATATTCAGTAATGGTAGCTGGGCACCATCCAGTTCTTCTGGTCTCATGGCAAAGGAGGCAGTTGTTCATGGAGGCAATTAGCCACACATTCCATATCTTCCTTCTCTTCTTGAGTCTCCTTCTCCCTCTGTTGCTCCAGGTGAGTAGAAACCAATTCTTTGTGCCTTGGATGGCTGCTTGCAAGCTTTTAAGACCCCAGGCCCTATGCAATGAACTAGGAGGTAGTACAGAAGCACTAAACAAGTTATTAGGCCAGTTAACTGGGATGTCCCATGAAACCATGACCCTAAACCTTCAAACCAAGGAACCAATTCCCATGAGGCGTTTGGTTATACTTAAGCAGCCTCAGCAGTTACTCTTTTTTTTGTCTTTGTTGTAAATATATCTATTACACGCTTTTGCCAATTCAGCTTTTATGACATTGGTTAAAAACCCCATGACATGTCAGCACTCTCCCTTCTTGACATTGGGTTCCCTATTACCAGCTTTCCTGTCCCCTCCTGCCTTCTAGTCTTTACCCCTGGGCCGTTGTGCCCCTTTAGTCTTGTTTTGTTTTATGAACCTATCTAATCTTTGGCTGAAGGGTGAACCTCAGGAGTGACTTCATTACTAAGCTAAAAGGGTGTCTGGGGGCCATACTCTCAGGGTTTCTCCAATCTCTGTCAGGCCAGGAAGTCTGGTCTTTTTTTGTGAGTTAGAAATTTGTTCTACATTTTTCTCCAGCTCTGTCCAGGACCCTCTATTGTGATCCCTGTCAGAGCAGTCAGAGGTGGTATCTGGGCACCATTCTAGTTGTACTGGATTCAGTCTTGTGGAAGTCATGGTAGTTGTGGTCCATTAGTCCTTTGGACTAATCTTTCCCTTGTGTCTTTTGTTGTCTTCACTCTTCCTTGCTCCAGATGGGGTGAGACCAGTGGAGTATCTTAGATGGCTGCTCACAAGCTTTTAAGACCCCAGACGCTACTCACCAAAGTAAACTGTAGAACGTTTTCCTTATAAACTATGTTATGCCAGTTGAGCTAGATGTTCCCAGAGACCATGGTCCCCACAGCCCTCAGCCCAGTAATTTGGTCCCTCAGGGAGTTTGGATGTGTCTGTGGAGCTTCTATGACCTTGCCTTGGACAAGCTGGGCTGGCTTTCCCAGTATTGGGTACTCTCTTACCCTTCACCAAAGTTACCACCTATCTATTGTCTATTTTAGTGTTTTTCCCTCACCATCTTTCCCCTCCCTTGTAACCATCAAAGATTGTTTCTTTTTGTGTATAAACCTTTTCATGAGTTTTTATAGTAGTGGTGTCATACAATATTTGTCCTTTTGTGATTGACTTATTTCACTCAGCATAATGCCCTCTAGATTCATCCATGTTGTGAGATGCTTTGCAGATTCATCATTGTTTTTTATCATTGCATAGTACTCCATTGTGTGTATGTACCAGTTTGTTTATCCATTCATCTGTTGATGGACATCTAGGTTGTTTCCATATTTCTGCTATTGTGAACAATGCTGCAATGAACATAGGTATTGAATATGCCACAATTTGCTTTTCCATTTAGATAGCGAAGAAAGAGAGATACTTATAAAAAATTTATTATGGTAAGATATACATAACAAAAATTCGTAGTTTTAACCATTTTTAAAGTGTACAATTCATTTATTACATTTACTATGTTGTACAATCATCACCACTATCCATTTCCAAAAAATTTTCATCACCCCAAACAAAACTCAGTGTCTTTTAAGCAATAATGCCTCATCTCCCTTTCCTTGAAGCCTCTGGTAAACACTACTCTCAATTTGAAGATTAATACCCTCTGACCTGACCCTCCTTCAGTTTATTAGTGGTATGGCAGATCATGGACTATCATGCAGCCATTATAAAGAACGCACTAGTACTCTACTAGATGACTGAGGACTTTTAGCAAGTACGATTGAGTGAGAAGAGCAAAATGTCAAAAAGGGTGTAATATTATCTTAATTTTGTAACATAAATGAAGACCAAAAAAAATCTGTCTCTCTCTCTTTTTCTCCCTCTCTATCTGAATAAATTATATAAATAGGGAGAAAAATAAAAAAGCACATACTAGATTGTTAAACTGGTTTACGGGGTGGGGAGGGTGGGTGCTGATGTGGGGGGAGGGAAGTGTCCATAATAAAACTGTATATTTGATATTTGATATGATTTTATTTATGTAAAGTTACAGATGAAAATAAAAAGAATCTCTATCCCACTGAAATAAGGGTTAAATGAACTGTATGAAAATTATCTAGTAAGTATTTAACACATAGTAGTTGGTTAGTAAGGAGCCCTGGTGGCACAGTGGTTAAAGTGCTCAGCCACTAACCAAAAGATCAGCCATTCAAACCCACCAGCTGCTTCTCAGGAGAAAGCCGTGGAAACCCTATGCGGCAGTTCTACTCTGTCCTGTAGGGTCGCTATGAGTCAGAATTGACTTGATGGCAGTGGGCGTTTTGGTTTAGTTGGTCAGTAAATAGAAACACAGATAGTTGGGTGGTATTCCCATTTGTTAACATGATTAACGCTCCAGAACAGGAGATGCAATCCAAGAACAGACTTTGGGATTCATCAACAAAAATGGGTTTGATTTTCGACATTTTCCAAATAGCCTGTCAGCTGATCTTTTTTTTAATACTGTTTTATTGAGGAAGGAGTCACAGGGATGGTAAGGTCAGGGAGACTATGCATAATATAGTAGGGACTTGTGCCTGTCGAAACGTGGGCATTTGGGCAGGTTGGCCTCATATGAGCCTACTGAAGGCTTACTGAGGAAAAAATTCCTCCCTCTATTTAACAATGCCTCCCGTCTATTACTTGGTGGCTAGGACCTCTAAGGGAGAGAAACTTTCCCCTCAAATTCCAGTAGTACATGTCAGCTTCTGTTTATTCTTTATTCATTCTCTTCTCCAATTCTACCCCCAGGATCATGTATATGAACTTCTCAACACTATTGATGTCTGCCAGTGCCATTTCGATATCGTAAGATTCTTTGCATTTTCTTTTACCCAAGAGCTACAGAAAAGGCTAGGTCTAGATTGGGACAGCGTGAGGCTGCAGGAACGGCTATTTCATTTGTTCATTTCCAGGACTGTAATTCGTTTTAAAAAATGCTGAAATTCAAATGTATTTACTTGTTAAGCAAGTTAGCAACATGATTTATTTAATATAAAATTACATTAAAATCTTCTTACTTTACCCTCTCAACCCCCAATTACTACATATTTCCTAGCCTCTTTGTATCTTGAGCTCACTTTTAGCCCCTGACATTTGTTACAATTTTCTCCTCCTGAATTTTCAATCCTACTTCTAAATATACCCATTCAGAGTCTATTTAGCATTGTCTGGAACGGTTGGGGGAAATAGGGAGATCCAGGTTCAGTGACCCTACTGCTCTTGAATTCCTGTATATTCTCCTTGTAGAATCTCAACTTTGACTTCACTCGAAGTTACCTGGACTTGATTGTGACTTACACCTCAGTTGTTTTACTTCTGTCACGGATTGAAGATCGACGGGTACTCATTGGCATGTACAACTGTGCCCATGAGATGCTGCACGGGCATAGGTGAGTCAAGGGGATGTACTATATGAAGAGTCTCATATTTGGTGCTATGAGATAGGAGGTCAGTAGATTCAAAGGAAATAGATGCCATCCATTCTCATATGAGAACCTGTAATCTACATAATGACTCAGGCAAAACAAAACAATTTAGAATACTTACAAGGGCATATACCAACAGGTGTGCTCTCACATGTAGTTAACTCTTGAATACCTGTAGTGGATTATCCAGTTTGCATTGCCTCTGATCAATTTTTAATCCTGAGCTGGCTTCTACTCTGCTTTTCAGGTTATTGCAAAAGCAAAGAAAATTCTTTTTAGTATTGGTAGGAATAATACTAATAAGATAAAGCCATTAGAAGTAAGTAATGTATAATGATACATTTGAAGCCAAATATAAATGGCTTTTGGATTATCTGTAATTCTGCCCTCCGTTAGTGCAAATGTTAGTATTTAAGGGCTGAAAAAATGAAGACGAGAGGGATCAGAGTGGGCTGTGGCATACTGTTCTGTGCATGCATATGGATTCCCATGCATGTACGGGATACCTAGGCACATGCCTTAGCCATTTACTTTGTTTTATATCTTTTGAGTTGTGTACAGATTTGGGTCCCGTCATGTTACTGAGTTTCCAACTAATCAACAAGAATTTATAGAGTACTTATAATGTGTCTAACCCTAATTTGGATGCTTATAAGGAAGAAACTTTCATGAACCTGCCCAATATTGTGTGATTCTGTCTAACCATAGCTCAGCGTGCCTGGGCCTGGAGTGGGGTGTCCGTCTATGTAATTCACAGTTTAATGTGTATATCTTTGAAGGTGGTAGGGAATGCCAGCCTATGCACACATCTTTATCCTATATGCAAATATGGGAGTTTAAGTCATGATTAGAGAGGCATTCTACCTGAGATACCCCTGGTGACTTCACAGATTGGTTAAGTGAGGCCTGTAGCTCCTTTTTCCTCTGCTTTCTTTCAGTGACCCCAGTTTTGCTCGTCTGGGTCAGATGGTCTTGGAGTATGACCACCCTCTGAAAAAGCTGACAGAGGAGTTTTGTCCTCACACAAAGGCAAGTTTCCTGAGAGAGCAGAGAATTCCTTAGTCCATGGAGTATATTGTCCTTATCATTGTCATTAAGAATTCATTTGTTTTTCCTCACAGGCTGTGAGTGGGGCTCTCCTCTCTTTGTACTTCCTTTTTGTTCGAAGGAACCAGGGGGCAGAGCAGTGGCGTAGTGCTCAGCTTCTGAGTGTCATCAGCACTCCCTCAGCCATGATTAACCCTGCTGGTTCAGACACAGTGAGTTCCCCTTTCCTTTTGTTAGTGGAGGCATTCCCTTTCCAAAGGCCATCTCTGTAGAGAGTGCTTCTTTCAGGAAATACCAACCCTAAAAATGTTTTAGCCCTCTTCTAGGATATGCCTCTAAGTTGATTACCTCTTGTGGCTAAAAAGTCATGGTTAAGTTAGAGCTTTTGTTGGGATCAGGATTAGTGTGTGCTTGCCTATAGAAGGAATTTAGTAAATATTCATAGAATGAATGAAAAGTTGAATGAATGGTGGAGAAACTGTGTCATTAGGCACTTATTTAGCCCAGCAGGAACTTGAATTTAGGAGTCAATCACTTAACAAATATTTTTTGTTCAACTACCATGGCCCAAAGTCTTTCCTTCAAATAATTTATAGTCTAGGGAAGATAGGCCATGTAGGCACAAAAATATAGCTGATGCTGCAAAATGAGTGATAAGTGCCAAATGAGTGATTTGCAGTTTAAGTGGTAAAATCATCCAACCAAAACCCAAAACAAAACTCACTACCGTCAAGTCAATTCCGATTCATAGTGACCCTATAAGACAGAGTAGATCTGCCCCATAGGGTTTCCAAGGCTGTAACCCTTTTTTTTTTTTTAAATTTTATTTTTATTGGGCTTTAGGTGAAAGTTTGCAATTTAAGCTAGTTTCTAATACAAAAATTTGTACACACATTGTTATGTGACCCTAGTTGCTCTCTCTATACTGTGAGAGCACTCTCCTTTCCACCTCAGATTTCATGTGTCCATTCAACCAGCTCCCGACCCTCTCTGCAAGGCTGTAATCTTTAGGAAGCAAACTGGCACATTTTTCTCCCCTAATGTGACAGGTAGGTTCGAACCACTGACCTTTCTGTTAGCAGCTGAGCGCTTTAACCACTGTACCAACAGGGCTCCTAAAATAACCCAAAAAAGGGTGAAATCATGAGACAGTTTCATCAAGTCTTGCTCTCTTATTATTAAAAGTATCTGAACTGTTAAAGAGAAGTTATGTTGAACCTTTTGTTTGTCCTGGCTTCCAGTCCAAGCTCCTTTTTCTTTTCTCAATCATATTTCTTTTTCCTCACTCCACTCCCAGTGCCTCACCTCCATTATCAGCAGGTTTCCCAGCTAGTGGCTTATCAAAGTACCCTAATCCAGTCTGGTGAAATAACAGTTGGTTTTGCTACCCAGATTCTAGCTTGACTACCTCTGTTATTTTTCTCCTTTGGGGAGGACTAAGTTAAATAACTGCTTGACCATCTCTTCCTCTCTTCTCACAGATGGCCTGTGAGTACCTGTCCATGGACGTGATGGAGCGCTGGATTATCAGTAAGTTTTGTGAAATTAAATGGGAATGGACGTAGCAGCATTATGTGAATAACACGTTCTAAAAGTCTTTCTCTGCACTGTTTTACCCATCGGCAGTTGGGTTTCTTCTTTGCCATGCTTGCCTCAACTCCAATACCCAGTGTCAGAAGCTGTGGAAGCTGTGTCTGCAGGGCTCCCTGTACATTACCCTCATCCGGGAGGATGTCCTGCAAGTGCACAAGGTCACCGAGGACCTGTTTAGTGGTTTGAAAGGGTGAGAGACATTAACACCAAACTGATTTTATTTGGGGATTTTTAGCCTCTCCTTACATCCTTTGTCAGTCTCCAAGTGCCCCTAGAGTACAGGTGGTAAGGATTAATTCTAATGATTGAAGAAATATTTATTGCATACTTACTATTTACTAGGTACTTCACTGGGTTTTGGGGTCCTGGTAGCACAGTGGTTAAGAGCTAGGGCTGCTAACCAAAAAGTTGGCAGTTTGAATCCACCAGCCGCTCCTTGGAAATCGTATGGAGCAGTTCTACTCTGTCCTGTAGGGTCGCTATGAGTTATAATTGGCTTGATGGCAATGAATTTGGTTTTTGGTTTTGACATAAATGATTTAATTTGATCTTTATGATAACTCAGATGTAAGTATTGATATCATTTTTCATAACTGAGAAAATGGAGACTCAGTCTTGGTATCAGTTAATAAGCAGTGGAGTTAGAGAAAATAATTCCAGAGATTTTGACTCTTAATCCTGCTCTTTTTTATCATACCATGTAGAGGTTGAAATAATTATCCATCAGGAATGCTGTGGAGTTGAATCCTGATTTAATTAAGATAATTCCCAACTCTAAATTTCTTTGATTCTGTGCTAAGTTCAATAAGGGAGTGGTTTGGAGAACGGAAAATATGACGTTACGTTGCTCCACTAATGTGGTGGCAACAGTGATACTAGACAAGAGAAGACACATGTGAGGAACATAGAGAGCAATGAGTCTAAAGTAACGCTGGGATTCTGAACATGAATGACTAGGAGAAACAAGAGATTTGGTCACCAGAATCAAATATTGTAGGCAAACCAAGAACAATGAAAAGGCCAATTAATCTGGTGATTCAGAAGTTCACAGTGATCTTGGAGAAAGCAGTTTGTGTAATGTCAAAGCCTTGTGAGTCTCAACGGTCAATGAGAGATGAGGAAGTAAAAGTGTATCTTTGGAGTTTAGTGATGTGGGAGAATAGGCAAAGTTCAATAGATTGTCAGGGTCAAGCCAGGGCCTTTTTAGAATGGAGGAGGCTTTGAACTTGTTGTTGGGAGAAAAGAGCCAGTGGAGATGGAGAGATTAAAGAAGCTACAAAGGGATAACTGATAAAGTTATATATTCTAAGAGGAGGTGGGTGGGAATGTGAGGCAAGGTAGAACTGGAGTAACTACTTTTAGTTGAGAGCAGGGCCTATATCATATTCATACACTGCTTCTTTCATCCCCCTCAAACCTGGACGTATAAATCTAAGATTAAATCTTGACTTGAAGGTACTCTCGAAGCATAGGATGAGAAGTCAAGTGGTCTAGCCTCAGCTTTGCCATTAAAGCCTTGTGTAACCTTGGACAAGTCATTTTCCTTCCCTAGGTATTATTTTCCTTATCTGCAAAATAATACGGTAAAACTGATACATCTCTAAGCTCGTTGAGTCTTTTATCAATAGACCACGTTGGGAAGGAGAGTTTGGAAAGATCCTGCTAGTGAGGGCTGCCTATGCTCCCTCAGGCTTTAGTTGGGAATCTCTGCAGACTGGGGAGGTGGGCAAGGCCCCTAACTGGTGGTTTGGCCAACCCTTCTGTGCTTGTGTCGTTCCTCAGGTATGGCAAGCGAGTGGCTGACATAAAGGAAAGCAAGGAATATGTAATTGCAAACAGGTAAATGTGTGGAACGGGTTCCCTGAGAGGAGATGGAATAGGAATCTCTCCTGACCTTTGTTCTCACCTAAGCTGCCCCCACTTTCTGTACAGCCTTTTTGCCTCAACCCAGGAGCTTCTGCTGCCACCACAGAGTCTTGTGTTTTCTTTCCAAGTCTAACTTTTGCATTGAACCTTTTTCCCGCTTGACATCCCTTTCCAAATGCAGCTTTCCTCTGCTCTGCCTGTAGAGGGTTTCTTTTTTCCCTAAATTTTATTGTGTTTTAGGTGAAAATTTACAGCTCAAGTTAGTTTCTCATTCAAAAATTTATACGCAAATTGTTTTGTGACATTGGTTGCAATCCCCAGAATACGTCAGCACTCTCCCCCTTTCCACCTCGAGTTCCAGTTTTCCTGTCCCTTCCGTCTTTGCTTTTGGGCAGGTGTTACTCGTTTGATCTCATATACTTGATTGAACTAAGAAGCACCTTCTTCACCTGTGTTGTTGTTTGTTTTATAGGCCTGTCTAATCTTTGGCTGAAAGGTGGACTTCTGGAGTGGCTTCAGTTCTGAGTTAGCAGAGTGCTGTGGAGGGTTTTTAAGGGTTGGGGAGGCAATATTTTCTAGTTTCCACCTTCCTTCCTCAGTGGCCAGTTACACTGTCAACGGCGACAATTTCTGCGGATGGCAGTGAAGGAGCTGGGAAGTGTGTTAACTGATGAACCAGGACTACTGGGTCCCAAGGCAAGAGAAAGAAATGTTGGGGGGAGGGAGGTGTGATGACCAAATATAAGAGACTGACTCTATCGGGGGAGGTGTTTTTGCATTCATGAGTTTTTGTTTCTGAGTCTTTTGTGGTCTATTTGTATGTATATATTCGATTCTCTTGAAGCTTCTTGGAGGAACACAAAGCTTTTTATGTATCTTTTTTGGGCACTAATCATAGTATGCCATGTATTATAGCTATTTGTGTACTTCTCTTATCCTCTGTTTGAGTGTGAACTAACTGAAGACAGAGCTTTTTTTTTTTTTTTAAATCATCTTGTAGAACCACGTAAATGCCCAGTAAATATTTCTAAAATTAATTTAATGGAGAGGGAGTACTGACTGTGAGCTAATGTTAACATAGGTACATGTCTGATTCTGAGCATGTGTTGAGGTTTTTTTGTGTGTCTGTGTGTTTATTGTTTGACACTGTTGTTGGTATGGCTATACAATTGTGTCCATATGCATATTATCAAGGTGGTTTTCTCTATGCTTTGAGATCCATTCTTTCAGTTGAAAATGCTTAATAGTCCCTGTACTCTCCTTAGGCCCTTTTGGCTTTCATGGCCCTATCCTTCATTCGTGATGAAGTTACCTGGCTGGTTCGCCACGCAGAAAATGTCACCAAGACAAAGACGCCTGAGGACTATGCTGACTCGTTAGTATTTGATATGGTTAAGAACCTTGACCTTAGATGGACTGGGAAAAGGGTACAGGAAGGAATCAAATTTTCTGCCTTGTTATCACTGTCTTGTCTCAATTCATATTTCTGGTCTTTCATACATCTCTCTGTTCTCACCCACTCCTTTGTAGAAGCATTGCGGAACTACTTTTCTTGTTGGAGGAGATTAGAGCTCTTGTCCGAAGACACATCAAAGTGATACAGCAATACCACCTTCAGTACTTGGCCAGATTTGATGCCCTTGTGCTCAGTGACATCATTCAGGTATGTTTAATTGATTATACTTTAGAAATTTCAGGGTGATCCTTGGTCATTTTCCTCTTGGAGCCACGCTGTCTGAATCTCATGTTCTGTAGATTGGGTGTCAGGAAGCTTGACTTTCCCCTCTATGTGTATATATGTACATATATATTTAAAAGGACTGATAATCTCAATAAGAAGCCCTGGTGGTGCAGTGTTAAAGTGCTCTGCTGCTAGCCAAAAGGTCAGCAGTCTGAACCCACCAGCCATTCCGTGGGAGAAAGACGTGGCAGTCTGCTTCCGTAAAGATTTACAGCCTTGGAAACCCTATGAGGCAGTTCTACTCTGACCTGTAGGGTTGCTTTGAGTCAGAATTAACTCCACAAAAGTGAGGTTTTTTTTTTTGATAACCTCAATAGTCTTTTTCTCCTAAGTGAAGCTACAGAGCAGAAAACTGAAGAACCAAACCTGCTGCCATCGAGTCGATTCTGATTTATAGCAACCCTATAGGACGGAGTAGAACTGCCCCATAGAGTTTCCAAGGAGCAGCTGGTGGATTTGAACTGCTGACCTTTTGGTTAGCAGCCAAGCTCTTAACCACTACGCTACCAGGGCGCCAGAAATAGGAGAGAAAATTAAAAAGAAGCTTGGTGTTAGTGTGGCAGGAAATCAGGAACGTTCCTCCATCTCTCATTTGGCATTTTTTCTGTTTGTGGCACTTACCAGTTCCTTCTACCTTCATATACTGACCAAGCATTTTGTCTTATTTTCTATCCTGGCGGGACCTATGCCCACTTGATGTTACTCGCCTTCCCTTTCAGAACCTGTCAGTGTGTCCAGAGGAGGAGTCTATCATCATGTCCTCGTTCGTCAGTACTCTCTCCTCTCTGAATCTCAAACAAGGTAACTGGAGGGAGATGAGGGAGTAGAGCATATATAAGGCGAACATCTTCTCTCTAGAAATATTAATCTCTTGAGCTAGGATATGAGAAAAGATGACTTGGAAGAAGATCTCCCATTCTATGCAATCTAGTGTCCTGTCGGGTCAGCCTCTTCGGTGTCACACGTGGTGCTGTTTTATTGTATGTTTTTAAAATTTGCTTCTATTTTGCTTGTAGTTGATAATGGAGAGAAATTTGAATTCTCTGGTTTGAGGCTGGACTGGTTCCGCCTACAGGTAATAGTCTATTGCTGTTGATGGTTCTCCATCCTCAGATTTTTCCTCCCTCACAATCCCTTCTAATTTTATTTCCTAACCTCTGCTATATGAGGTGACTCATATGGGCCAAACTGTAGTCCTAAGGCTGGGAGCCCTTTTCATCTCTCTTGTTTTTCTCTACCCTTTTCCTAACTCCAACCACAGGCATATACCAGTGTGGCTAAGGCCCCCCTGCACCTGCATGAAAACCCTGATTTAGCCAAGGTGATGAACCTCATTGTCTTTCACTCTCAAATGCTGGACTCAGTAGAGAAAATGCTGGTGGAAACTTCTGACCTGTCTATCTTCTGGTATGTCCTAGTTCAGAGCGCTTTATCAATTCACTTGATCTCCTGCCAGCCTCTGTGAAGGATTGTAATTCCCCTAGACAGATGGGAAAGTATTTTTTTCTTTGAGAGCTCCTTAAACGCAGATGCTCAAACTGCACAGCTTACTCATTCAGTTTCTACTAATAATCCTAAGCAATAGGAATTTGAAGTTGATTCCCTTTTATTCTGTAGTCACGCTCTTTAGGAAAGTCATTTAGACTTTACACAGCCTTCCCTTCTTTGAGATAATTCAGCCACATGTCTTTTTCCAATCTTTTATTATCTTCCCTGCTGTCTTTGAAAACTTTTTCAGCCTTTTTTTGTTTTTAAATTTTAGAACATTGTGATTTAAAAGAGACATGGAAAACGAGATTTAGTGGAGAGAACTAAAAATAACTGAGAGAGCTGGGGCATAGATCTTTGGAGAATGAAAATTACTTTGTCTTCCTTAGGTAGCATTCAACATTTATTGGATGACCACTGTTGTACATAACTCTACCCTTTAAGAGATCCAAAAAACCTAATATGTTGTTTCTGCTCTCTGTATTCAATGTTAAAAAACAAAAACAAAAACACAACAACAACTGTCCTGACTCATGGTGACCATATGTGTGTCAGAGTAGAACTTTTCCTTTACAGGGTTTTCAATAGCTGGATTTTTGGAAGTAGATCACCAGGCCTTTCTTCTCAGGTACCTCTGGGTGGACTAAACCTCCAACCGTTTGTTTAGCAGCCTAGCCCATTAAACATTTGCACCACCCAGGACTCTGTATTCAATATAGGTGAGGATAAATATAACAACCACATGTGAAAAGGACATCAACATAATAATTGCGAATGTTAAAAAATGTAAAATGAGTGCAAAATGTTGAGAGGATATAGGGTTGAGGAAAGATGAGTCTCATGGAATTAACCTAAGAAGGATTTCTGGAGTTGGAATATTGAATTTTGGGAGCGATGTGAATTAGCAGTACTCAAGGGGTTCTAAATTAGGGTGAATGGCCCAAATCATGCAAAGATTCTGAGGGAGGAATAACAAGTTCTGTGCAAGGAAAGAGAAGAAGATTATCATTAAACTGCCCTGGGGTCCATTGTAAAAATATCTGCAAGAGTTAGGTTTCCCTTCTCCCTCAGGCTAAGGTAAATCAAGGAGGGAATGGTGGATATCAATAAATATTTGTGAAAGAATGACTATTCTCTCCACCTCAGAGGGACCAGCTCCTATGCCATGGCTCTAAATCTCCTTCCTCTTTCTCTGCAGCTTTCACCTCCGTATCTTTGAGAAGATGTTTGCTATGACCCTGGAGGAACCTACTATGTTGCGCTATGCTATTGCCTTCCCCCTGATTTGTGCTCATTTTGTCCACTGCACTCATGAGATGTGCCCAGAGGAGGTGGGTGTCCGGAACTCCAAACCCTGTCATCTCTCTAATCACATTTCATCCTTATTCCCCCAAATGGAAAACACATCCTCAAGGGTTGATTTTGATCCCAAGAAGGGTACAAACATAGGAATATGACATAAGTCCCTAAATATCTCAGCTTGATGTCGAATGTGTCCTCTCCCCCGTCTCGGTTTCTTCGTTTATAGGAGTGGGTAGCTCAGGCAAGGGGATCAGAGCAGTATTATGAGTTAAGAATTAGCTACCCTGGTGATGACAATTTCTTCCTTTGTCCCTTTTCCCACAGTACCCTCATCTGAAGAACCATGGCCTTCACCACTGCAACTCCTTCCTGGAAGAGTTGGCCAAACAGACGAGCAACTGTGTCCTAGACATCTGCGCTGAACAGCGAAACCTGAGTGAGCAGGTAAGCTTGGTTCTTGCTTTGTTTCAGTTTCCCTTCTGCCATTCCTCAGTGCCTTCCCTGTCTACATTTGTCTCTCTCTCAAATGCCAAGTTCTCCAACTTTTTCTCTCAAATAGGGCTAGGGCTTTTGCATTCTTGAGTTTACGGTGTGATTCTTTTCTAAGTGTTGTCCCTTCAGTCTTTACTACATTAGGACTAGATCAAACCAAACCAAACCCATTGCTATTGAGTCAATTCCGACTCATAACAACCCAATAGGATGGAGTAGAACTGCCCCATAGGGTTTCCAAGGTGGTAATCTTTACGAAAGCAGACTGCCACATCTTTGTCCTGTGGATCAACTGGTGGGTTTGAACTGCTGACGTTTTGATTAGCAGCTGAGTGCTTTAACCACTGTGCCACCAGGGCTCCTTAGGACTAGACAGAAGTGTCTAAAAATACTCTTATTTGAACAGCTGAACTCCAACAAAATTTGTGCTCTCATTTGAAGAGTTCCAAGAGATGAGTTAACTTTCCAATTTACTTCCTCTTCTCTCTTTCCCTTGTGTACACAGACTTAGAACAGTGGCCCACAGATCAATCATAGGGCGTTTCATCTGTATCTTCTCATCTTCCTACCCTTCTGCATCCTGATTTGCTGCCGTCTGAACATTTTCAGGCACCTTGTCTGTGTTTATCCTCAAGGCTGCTTTCTTGTCCTTGTATTCCTGTTTTTCCCCCCTCCCTTCCTTGACTGACTCACAACACCTGGTAATGATTAGTTCAACCTAAATTTCAGAAAATTCTAAAATGAGGAACTTGTTTTGCTGTTGCCCTGGAATCTTTTAGGTTGCCAAGACTACCTACCCTTCCTGGGTTTGAGTCAGGCTTAGTAACAACTTTGGTGGACGGGAAACCAGGTGTGCGTGCGTGCGTGTGTGTGTGTGTGTGTGTGTGTGTGTATGTACGTGGATACATATGCATGGTTACATTATTACTTAACTTCCTGTTTTCTCATATGTAAAATGGGACAAAAATATTTTCTTCATAGAGGTGTCATAAGGATTAAATGAAATAGAGTACATAAAATTTTTGGTATACAGCAGTCAATAAATGTCAGCTGTTATATTATTTGGCACTTACTGGCCACTAAGCCCTGTGCTAGGTTTTTGGGGTCAGGTCTCAAAAGGAAGGTACACAATCCCTGCCCTTGGGGAATGTTCCAATCTAATGGGGAAAAGAGTACAAAAACATGTTTGAAAGAAGTCTAAATAATTCAGGGAAGATATGTAAACAAGTACAATGGGTGTATTCATCACTCGTTTGTATAGCTACTACGTGCGAGGGGCATAGTTAAGGAGATTTGCTCAGTGCTTTATCAGGGATGACAAAAACATGATGTGAGTAATTGTTTTCACACACACCAGATCTTTTGCAATCCAATGAGTGTTAGCCCATCCAAAGTTACCATTTTGAGTAAATAATTATATTAGTGATGTTGCCGTTACTACTGGAGTTATAATTTTTTGGAACTGCTTTCAGAATCCACCACAGACACTTAAAAAAATTTATTGTGGTTATATATGTGTGTGTGTGTATATATATATATGTATATGTATATGTATATATGTGTATACACATATATACATATACATATACATATATATATATATATGAGCCCTAGTAGCTCAGTGGTTAGGTGCTTGGCTACCATCTGAAAGGTTCGAACCCACGAGCCACTCCTTGAGAGAAAGATGTGGCAGTTTGCTTCCATAAAGATTTATAACCTTGGAAACCCAGTGGGGCACTCCTACTCTGCGCTACAGGGTCGCCATGAGTCAGAATTAACTTGACGACAATGGATATGTATATATAAAACAAAAATTTGCCGTTTTTAAGTGTATAATTCAGTGACATTAATTACATTCAAACCATCACTGTTATCTATTTCCAAAAGCTTTTCATCACCCCAAACAGAAAATCAGTATTCCTTAAGCAATAACTTCCCATTCCTTCCTCCCCACAGCCCCTGGTAACCACTAATAAACTTCCGTTTCTATGCATTTTCTTATTCTAGATATTTTATATAAGGGGGATCATACAATATTTGTCCTTTTGTGTACCGCAGACACCTTTGAATAATCTCAGGGTTGATACAACTTTGTCCATCAAGGTGGACTTGATTTTTTAAAACAGCCAAGAATCAGGATTTAAAAAAACAAAGTGTGACTAAAAAAAAAAAAAAAAACCCAAACCCGTAACTGTCGAGTCGCTTCTGACTCATATGACCCTATGGGACAGAATAGAACTGTCTCATAGGATTTCCAAGGAACGGCTGGTAGATTCGAACTACTGACCTTTTGGTTAGCATCCAAGCTCTTAACCACTGTACTACCAAGGCTCCAAAGTATAACTAGAAAGTAACAAAACCATATTACTTGTGTGGCTCCTATATTGCTCTAAAAGCAATTCCTAAGGAGGAATTTTCAGATACTCTGCATATTGGCAGCAGCATTGGAATAAATGGAGAGAATCCTGTGGTGATTGCCTTGAAGGAAATATCTGAATATGTACGTTTTATCTTATACTTTCTGTATGGCTAACTGTGGTATCTCAGTGAAGACGAGAAATGCAGGATTGATGTTTAAGCTAACTAGCAAGAAATGTATTATCTTATTTCAAGAAGAGGTGGGCAGAGACTGCTGGCCATGTTGTGAGCTCTGTGTCTTTGGAGGGCTGTGGTAGTGTGAGTAACTCTGCCCATGGGATAGAATATGAAGGAACGTAGGAAGGGAGACGGTTGTTCGCTACTAGCAAAAATAACTGTCTTCCCAGGTTGGAAGACCCTAGAAAGCACAACGGAGTGAAGTTCTTAGATCTTATTTTTTTTAACTTGCGTTTTTCCATTAGTTAAGACTCTCAGCATGTGGGTGGGGATTTGATGACCTGATCCCTGAAAGACACTGCTACCTTGAGACTTTGAACCTGTAAATGGGGAAGTATTTAATGGAAACTAAAAGAGGTGAGCACATTACAAATAGGCCCTCGTTAGAGAAAGAGAGACATGGAAGGAGAGAAAGAAAAAGGTTGAAAGATAAAAAGAACAGACAATAATGTAGAGACCTTGTTTTTCTAACTGTTAGATGGGATTTTCTGCTGTTCAGAAACTAATGTTGGTTCTCCATTCACTTGTGTTTGTTTCTAAAGCTTCTACCTAAGCATTGTGCCACTACCATCAGCAAAGCCAAGAACAAGAAAACCATGAAACAGAGGCAGATTCCCAGAAAGGGAGAGCCAGAGAGGGACAAGCCAGGAGCTGAGAGTCACCGGAAGAACCGCAGCGTTGTCACCACGTGAGGACATGGGCCCCAGAGGGCAAACTGGGCATTGCATCAAAGAAAGGAGAAAAGGGAAGAGGGAAGGTTATACAGCAAAAGAACATGGAAGCGATGGTGGGGGAATGACCAGATATGGAAAAGCACTTAAATGTGAATTTTCTGCTTCGCTTTTGAAGTCAGCACCAGTGTGTACCATTCTAGGCTGAGTATCCCTAGAAGATGAAAGGCACCTGAAGGTCATGGTCTGACAGATCCAGACCTGTAATCAAGGCTCATTTGACTTTCTCGTTTTTCCCAGCATGGACAAGCTACACCTCATCTTGACAGAATTGGCACTGACAATGAATCACGTGCGCAGTTTTTCTGTGTTTGAACACACTGTCTTTCCTTCTGAGTATCTCAGCAGCCACCTGGAGGCCAGACTCAACAGGTATTGCTCTTTTCTTGTCTTCTATGTTTGCATAGTATGGTAATTCTCAAAGATGTGTTCCTCTACACTCATCTTGGCGGTCATGCCACACCCTGAAGATTCTGATACAGTCTTGATAAAAAACAAATAAACAAAAACAACCCCAAACCTCTACAAATGGTTTTGATGAACAGTCAGAATCGATCACCACTGGTTTAGTAGAATGATCAGGGCCTTTGCAGTCAGAGGACCTGTGTCGACATCCTGGCCATTAGCTAAGAGGCTGGAGCAGGTTGTCTAACTTGTTTGAGCCTTAGTTTCCTCTCCTGTAAAGTAAGAGTGATATTTATGTTACAGGTAACTGAGAATTGCCTATCATTGAAACTTGGTAGTGAGAATTAAAGATAATGATGAATGCAAAGTTTCTGACATAATAGGCCTCAGTAAAATGAATTCCCTTCCTCCTGTTTTGCCCTTCTTTCTATTACCCCCTCAAATTAGGAGGAACACCCCTTATACTGGCATTGGGCACTATCATCAGAAATCAGGGAAGTGGGGGGAGGAATTATTACAGATAATCCCCTGATAGTCTATGTTTTGTTTTGGAAAAGTAGTATATTCATTCACTCATTCAGCAAATATTTATTGAACACCTATTATGTGCCAGCACTGTTGTAGAAGCTGTTGATACTAGAAAGTAACAAAACCATGTTTCTTGTGTGGCTCCTATGTTGCTCTAAAAGCAAGTCCAAAGGAGGAGTTTTCGGATACCCTCTGGATATTGGCAGCAGCACTGAAATAAATGGAGAGAATTTCTTGGTGATTGCCTTGAAGGAAATATCTGAATATATATATTCTATCTTATACTCACAACAGACAAAACCCTCTACCCCCATGAAACTTACATTCTAGTGAGGGAGATAGACAAACAAAATAAGAAAGTAGAATATACAGTGTGTTATAGTAATAAGTGTGAAGCAGAAAAATAAAACAGGAAAGGGAGATAGGAAATATGTGAGTAGGGGTGGTGGTGGTGGTGAGGTGTTGCAGTTTTAGATACGGCAGCCAGCGAAGGCCCCCTTGAGAAAATGACTTTTGAGTAAACCTCTGAAAGAAGTGAGGAAGCCAGCCAGGTGGCTGTCAGGGGAAAGAGCATTTGAGGCAGAGGAAACAGCAAGTTCTGAGGTGGGAGTGACCTGGTATATTAAAGGGACCTGGAGGAGGCCAGTGTGGCTGGAGCAGAATGAGATTGGGGGAGATTGGTCGGACAGGAGGTCAGAGAGGTTGAGGGAACTGCAGATTATGTAGGTGCTTATATGCATCGTAAGGACTTTGACTTTTATTCTGAGTGAGTTGAGGAACCTTGGGGTTTTTGAGCAGAGGAGTAACAGATTCTGACTTAATATTTCAACAGGATCACTCTGGCTGCACTAGAGGGTCAAGGGTGGAAACAGGGAGACCAATTAGTCTGTTTTAATTGCAGGAGATGCAGATTTATTTTTCAGTTACAATTTTACTTGGGCAATAATAAAATCGGTTTGTTTTCCTTGTGTATATGTTAGTGATACAGAAGGAAGTGTCTCAGGTACATACACAACGTCAAGAAGACAGTTTGATTAATTGTTCATGTGCAAACCTTTAGAAGCTGGTAGTGGTTTCCAGGCCCTGTAGCAGCATGGGTATGCTATTTTAGTTTTCCATGAGTATCTCTGACACTTTCTTCATTGACATAATTGTTCCCAAGGCCCCAGGTTTGGCCTAGAGGTTTGGTCTCAGTGAAAATTCTTAAATAGATTAGGCTTGCCTCCAGCCTGTCCCTTCTGTATTATTTTCCCCCAAGTGGTACCCAAGTGTTCGGTACTTCTTCTTTTTTCCCTTTCATTTGGGGAGTGGGCGGCCCTCCTATTCCATTCTCCTCCTGCTATAAAAATTTCACAAAACAACAACAAAATGCCTGCTTCTACAGGAAGAATATGATAAACTCATTCATAAAAAATCCAGCTGCTGTCAAGTTGACTCCAACTCATGGTGACCTCATGTGTGTCAGAGTAGAATTGTGCTCCATAGGGTTTTCAATGGCTAATTTTTCAGAAGTAGCTGCTAGACCTTTCTTCCAAGTTACTTCTGGGTAGGCTTGAACCTCCAGAACCTCCAACCTTTCGGTTAGCAGCTGAGGGCGTTAAGCATTTGCACCACCCAGGGACTTCTAAAACTCATTCATATTTTAGGCAAAAATGACTAACAAAAGCTTGAAGTGTGATGTTCCTCTTTCCCCTACTATTTATATTCTAACAAGCAAAAAAGCCTGAGGTCAAAGTTGTTGTGTGCCTGCAAGCCAATTCCCACTCATCGTGACCCTATATGACAGTAGAACTGCCTCATAGGGTTTCCTAGACTGTAGTCTTTATGGGAACAGACCACAGGTCTTTTCTCCCAGAGAGCTGCTGGTAGGTTTAAACCGCCGACCTTTCTGTTCGCAAGGGAGTGCTTAACCACTGAAGTATCAGGTATCTGTGGAAGGTATTTTAGGATGAGTTGGGTGTCCCTGGAGAGGGGTCTTCCTGGTGTGTCTCTGAAATAATACACTGTAGGCGGTTACTCGGTTTTCTCTCAGGTTGGCTATAGCTGCATGCCAGCTAAGTGTGCTCTCTATCCAGTCCTGGCTCCCCTGGCCACTTGGGGATTACACTGCATTCCCAAGGATTTCTGGGTGTGATTTGCCATTTCTGATAGTGGTTGGAACCAATTCTTTCCAAGGAGAAAAGACAACTACTGGCACCAATAATGCAGGTGGTGTGGGCCTTCAGGTCTAAGTCAGATGGAATTTGGGAGGCCAGACTTTTTACTACCTGACTTTCTCCAGAGGAGACTGATGAGCAGCATAGTGATTAGGAATCAAATGTTATTGGATTAAGTCCCAGTTCTGCCACTTGCCATCTGTGTGATCTTCAGCAAGTGGTTTAATACCTCCGTGTCTCAGTTTCCTCACCTGTAAAATGGGGATAACAACTGTGCCTACTTACTGGGTTACTATGAAGTTTAAATGAGATAACGCATGTAGTAAAATCTCAGCACAGTGCCTGGAACACAGTGTACATTTGATAAATGTTATTATGTTTGTCATTATGACTGTAATTATGATTTTTATTACCCAGAGCCATTGTGTGGTTGGCTGGCTACAATGCTACTACCCAGGAGATTGTAAGGCCTTCTGAGCTGTTGGCAGGAGTCAAAGCATACATCGGTTTTGTACAGTCACTGGCCCAGTTTTTGGGTGCAGATGCTTCCAGGGTCATCCGCAGTGCCCTCCTGCAGCAGACACAGCCACTGGACTCATCTGGGGAGCAAACTATCACCACTCTTTACACAAATTGGTCAGTGCCGTTTATCCTCTCCCACTGCCTTACCTCTTTGTTACACAGTAGGATCTCAGGGACCAAGCATTTTAGCTCCCAGAGTCATAGACCCCCAAATGGAGGCTTGTTTTTGCTTGAGGATTACAGCAATAAACTGGGGCAAACCCAGACGTCCTTATATCCACCGTGAGGTTTCCATCTAACCTTCCTTGTAACATCCATCAATCTACCCTGCAACAATTTGATCTCTTTCCTTTTAATCTCCAGTTCTCACCCTTCCTTTTCTGGCTTCTCACCGTTTGAATTTCAAATAATTTCTCTCCCTCTTTATGAAATTCTCTTTTTTTTTCACCCCAGCCTCTCCCTCTGAAAACCATTCTGTGTACCACCATCTCTCTGGAACACTATCTCCTCATCCCCAGATATGACCGTGTCGAGCCTAGCAGATTGTTCTTAATAAGGAAGGGGGCCTCCCCAAATTTGGAGGAGGTGGGTATCAGAATCTTTTGAGATTTTAAGTAATGGAAAGGAGACGATTCTTACCTCCCCAAGCCACTGGGTGGCGCTCTTAATCCAGTATCAACTCAGTAGGAGCCACTGCAATGAGGAGACCAGTTAGTAGGGGAACAGGCTGAGATAAGGTTTGCAAATATAAACGCCAACAGGGGCCAGGTAGGGAAGGTAAATGGGTGTTATGGGCTAGGTGGGGACTTTGAGGAATGGGAGGAGGCGAGGGGGCAGCCACTAGTCGGTTCCAGCTGATTGCTGGTCCACTAAATCTTTATTCTTTTTGTAAAATTTTTCGGTTTAACAAATTTGACAACTAATTTCAATTAAGAGAGAGAGAGAGAGAAAAAAAGAGACACGTTTGGCGACTGGGTTTGACCTACCTGCATTTAGTTCGTGACTTTTATAAAAGACTCAGGCCAAGTGCTAGAGCCTGGATGAGGGACAGGGGGTTGGCCAACCCCTCCTCTGCCAACATGACTGGAGCCTCACCCCTCTCAGCTTGCTCAGGCGCCAGGGGGGATTATTTGGAGGCTGGATGACCACTGTTCGTGGGGCTTCTCTCTGCCAGAAAATCTGACTTGAGACCGGCTTCCAGGACTCCTGGGTCCTCAGTCCAGCATTCTTATTGGAGAGGCTGAGGCTAAGTTACTTCAGAGGAGCCCAACTAGTGGGAATTTTTTTGTCAGTTTGGGCCTGTCTTACCTGACAGACTAAGGCCAAGGGTGAGGGGAGTACAGTAGTTAGAAAACGACAGGGGCTGGGGAAAGGGATGCAGAGCATTTTGACAGCCTAGTGAAATACCCTGTGGATTAGAGGCCAAGTGGAATTACATTACTGCCAATTGTTTTTGAGCCAACAGGTTAGGGTGTTAATTAGAGCACTGTATTGTCTTCTTTGATCCTCTTCTCCCCACCCTAGCTTTTGGCAGAGTTTCTCCTTCCCAGCCCAGTAGTGGTGGAAAACAGTAGTGGAAGGGAGTAAACACTAATCTTCTGTTCATTCCTGGTCACCCCTGTAGGTACCTGGAAAGTCTGCTTAGACAGGCGAGCAATGGGGCCATCATCCTCGCCCCAGCCATGCAGGCCTTCATCAGCCTCCCCAGAGAGGGTGAGCAGAACTTCAGTGCAGAGGAGTTCTCTGATATCTCTGGTAAGCCTAGGGCCTGGTCTCCTTATCAAGGAACTGGGCCTTTCCCCTCAATATAATATCTCAGCTACAGACCCCACCTAAACTCCCCAACCCTACCAGAGGCCCACTCAACACTCTTCTCAGCATCTCTGCTAGACTCCACTTTAGGGAAGATAGAAAGGGATTCTAAGCTAGAATTGAGGAGTAGCCTGGGGTTAAAGGTGGAGAGAGAAAATGAGGAGAGTTTAGGGGTCCTCAAGTCACTGAAGGTATTTATTCCTGGAAGGGTGGTAAATGGTTACTCTTCATTTCCACAAAGAATAAAAGTAGGACATATAATGAAGGGCAGAGGATAAAGTGTCAAGAGGACATCCTCATGTTTGGAATTATTAAATAGTGGTCTGATGTCATGGCATCTTTTTCCTTAGTGATAAAGTTTGGAGCTTTAGCCGTGCTTGGATTGCTGATGTTTAGTAATTGTTGTTATTAGGTGCCGTTGATTCCAACTCATACCGATCCCTTGTGACAAAGTAGAACTGTCCCAAGGGTTTTCTTGGCTGTAATCTTTACAGAAGCATATTGCCAGGTCTTTCTCCCTGGATGAGAGCCACTGGGTAGGTTCAAACCTCCACCTTTCAGTTAGCAGCTGAGCATTTAACCATTGTACCACCAGGGCTCCTTGTGTTTAATAATAATACTTATAATAATAATGATGATAAAATAATGGCTGACATTCATTGTAGGCTAAATTCTAAATGCTTAGGAATATTAACTCATTTAATCCTAACAATGGCCTTGAGCTACTTACTTTTATTACCCCTGTTTTACAGATGAGCAAACTGAGTTACAGAGAGGTTAGGACCTTGCCTAAAGTCACACATTAGCAAATGGTAGAGATGGGATTTCAACTCAATTTCAGTCTAACTCCAGAACCTGGGTGCTTGGCCATGATGCAGTGGTGCTTCCCAGTGTATATAAGCGCACTTATGTCTCAAGGTGGGGGGGTGGGGAGGTAAGGAGTGTATAATGAATGAGTTGGGAAGCTGGTCTCTTTTTAAAGAGAGCTTGAAGTCATACATATCACCCCCTCCCCTTTTTAAAACTGATGTGAAATTCTCATAATGTAAAATAAACCATAATTTAAATCATTAAATTAAAATTGTTTAGCAATTCAGTGGCATATAGTACATTCAAAATGTCGTGTAACCACCACCTCTGTCTAGTTCCAAAACATTTTCATTACCCTAAAAGGAAAGCCTGTATCCGTCAAGAAGCTGCTCGTCACACTCCCCAGCCCCCAGCCCCTAGTAACCACCAATCGCATACAGATACTTTTTAATAGATTTGTTTTACCTACTGACTGATTCATGAACTCTCCTACTTCTCTGCTTCCCCTCACCTCCATATAAATCATGAATCCTGCGTGGTTGGTGGGTCAGGTAGGAGATGTTTCAATGATCCTGTGCTCTCCATTCTTCCCTTTCCTCGGGGGTGTTAAGAAAGTCAGAATACACAGTTCTGTTTTCCAGCTCTGCCTTCTTCTTACCCTTAACCCGACTCTATCAGTAAGCTGACCCTACTCTTTACCTGCTGGAGGTTTCAGACGTCCCCTTCTCATCAACTCTGCCTACAAACTGTAGGCAGCCTCTAAAAGCAGTTTATTCCTTGCTGACAACTGATGAGCAGCAGGAGGTAATGCTGATTCCCCTTTCTACCACCCCACCTCAATTTCCCTGGGTTGCCATGGTGATGGGGCAATGCTACTGTAAAAATAGATAGATGGAAAGAGAAGGATGCCCTAGGATACTAGCTTAGAGTAGAGAAGACTGGAGTAAGGTTTGAAATGGGTAGATAGCGTTGTCTTCTCTAGCAGCTCCTGAGAAGACCATTCAGCCCCTCTTCCCCTGGGTCAGCCATTTTAGCATTATCTAAGTTCACCAGTTAGGAAATCCTTTTATAGTTCTAATCTCAGTTCTTCCTATTGTAAATAGGCGAATCTAAAAATGTCTAGTAAATATCTATTCTGGACAAGGCTCTGTGCACGTGCAACTGCTGTGACCAGTTCCACTTCCTCTGTCAATGGTGGAGGTAGACATCAACTGGTCTTGCCTTCAGAGACTTGAGTATGGAGCATTGACTCGCTTTTCTATCGAAACTTTTATTAACTCTTTTAAACTTGCCTTTCTCTCACTGGTCTCTTGTTGTTGTTACTTCTAGTCTTTTATGGTTTTCTCTGTTGGATGGGTCTATAGGCAAAGATCATAGCTAGAGCCCCCTCCTGTCTCTATTTGTTACTAGTGTTTCTAATGTGGCATTCCTCCCCCCAACCCCACCACCCTGGCAGGTTTTATCTATTTCATGAAGGGTCACAAGCAGGCTGGATAGGGAGTTATAAGGCATTGGAACTGACTCAGGGGAAGAAGGATTTAGGTGGGGGGAACCCCTGAGATTCTGGGGATGTGTGTTGATTTTGAGAAAAGAAAAACTAACCCAAGGAGAGGAAAACTTCGACAGTGAAGCATTAAATAAGGGAAGCAGAGGGAGGAACATACAAAAAGCCAGACCTTAGATAAGGAAATAGTGTGGTATCTACTAGGACATAGTGAAGGCTAGAAAGAGGCATTGTACTTGCTTTCTAGCAGCAGCCCCTAACTTGGTTACATGGTCTTCGACAAGCACTTAATCCTCCTTGATATAAAACCAGGATGACAGTGCACATGGAAGATCCCTGTGCCACATACCTCAGAGGGCTGTTAATAGTGTTCATCATAATTATCCCTTATTTATACGTAGTTATAGTTTTCTAAGATTCTTATAATGTATCTCACTCTTACTCTGTGAGGTATTCAGGGCAGATATTAATTGCTTCATCATATAGAGAATTATAAAGTTCAGAGAGGTTCTTACAGCTAATAAAGCTAGTACAGTTAGTACAAGAGTAAAATCCAGGTACCATGTGAAGGGGCTTGGAAATGTATAGATTCTTATAAGAATGTAAAGTGAAATAGTTATTATTTGTTGTAGGTCTTGGTGTGCGTACCAGTGGGGAGACTACCCGTGCAGGCCAGACCTGTCACCTGAATGCAGGATTTCACTTTTTCTCCCCAACCTCCTACTTCTTTTCCTAGCTTGAAAACATTTCAAATTTACAAATTACCCTATAGTTGCTGTGCAAATGCTCCAGTGTCCTCTGAGTCCCATCTGGGACCTCTGTAACTCTATTCCAGAGATGCAGGCATTGGCTGAACTCTTGGGACCCTATGGCATGAAGTTCCTGAGTGAAAACCTGATGTGGCACGTGACCTCTCAGATCGTGGAGCTGAAGGTAGTGTGGAAACAAGCCCTGGGGAAAAGGTCCAGACTCAGGGCACTGGGTGAAAGATGTAACATCGGACTCTTAATTTCCTGCATAATGTCTCTGTGTTCCATGGACTGCAGAAGCTGGTGGTGGAAAACATGGATATACTTGTTCAGATCAGATCCAACTTTAGCAAGCCAGACTTGATGGCCTCTCTTCTGCCCCAGCTGATGGGTAAGCACCTTCCCCTACAGTGAGAAGAAACTGTGGGCAAACCATTGGGAATGACAGGGGTTTTCAGGAATCTGGGGGCTAGGCTGGGTCTGGAAGAAGCAAAACTATCCTAATTCTCCTGCTAAGTTTGCTTATCTAACACTCTTCTTTCTCCCCAGGGGCTGAGAATGTCCTGAAGCGCATGACCATCATTGGAGTGATCCTCAGTTTTAGGGCCATGGCCCAAGAAGGACTTCGGGAGGTGAATTGGGGGAGAGGGGGCTCACTGAATCACGGACACCTCAGGGAGTAGAGTTTATATGAGAAGCTGTGGAAAGGGTTGATGAGTAATGAGGAGAAAGAAAGAGGAAGATTCCCGGGAATAAATGAGCTGAGGAAACCCAGAGGCGTAAGGAGAAGGATAACATGGAAAGTTGGCTAGTTATTGTCTAAGTTGAAGCCTTTTTTTGTTTGTTTCCACCTATCTTTGAAGGCATTGGCCAGTATCCTGTGGACTTATTTTATCTCCTTTTTCCTTCAGGTTTTCTCCTCCCACTGCCCATTCCTTATGGGTCCTATTGAGGGCCTGAAGGAGTTTGTCACTCCAGACACAGACATCAAGGTATGGGGGAGTACAAAGTATAATCTCATTAGATGATTGTTGTTGAAAATGGATATAGCTAGGATATTGCAGGGAGAGAGAGAGGGTTTTGAGGAGAAGAGCTGGGATCTGAATGGGAAAATACTGTGGGGAGACTTTGTAGAGGGAAGAGCACTAGTCAGAGAGACAGAGCAGAGCTGGGGAGACATGGGGCCATGGAGAGAAGTGGGAGCCAGGGAGACCCAGTAGAGGCTGGGGAAACATTACCAGAGGGTGAGGGGTAAGATCTAGGATAGACTCTGTAGGTTTTCACCTGAAATGAGCAACGTGCAAATTAGATGCCAAACCACGTGCAGACGAGTCCCCTCTGGCACTTGGGTACTTTTTGTAAAAGAACTTGTTCCTTCCGTTACCACCCACCCTGCCTGCGCTCAGAGTTTCTTTCCTTTTCCTAATCTTTTTTTCCTCCCAGTTCTTAAACTTTCTGGTTTCTCTATGTCTGTATCCCCTGCCTCAGGCCCCCATTTGCTACAGGAGATAGAGAGAGGAAGAGGGGCTTTTGCAGACAAGACACTTAACATAAACATCTATTTCTCCTGCCCCTCCCCTACCTTTGCATCATCTTATCTTCTGAATCAACTGGAACAGACAAGTATGTTATACAGGAAATACAGCCAAAGACTGGAAGCAAGAGCCTTCAAATGCATAGGGAAGGCTACTAATGGATTCCTTTAACGGAGAGAGGTCTGTGATAAGAGGAAACTGGTAGCAAGAAGGATTAAAGTTAAATGTTAGGAAAAACTTTCTTACCTTGAGACCAAAGAATTATAAAATCTCCCCCCTTTCTGCCTGCAGTCATATGAGGGCCAAGTGGTCATGAGGTGAGAGGGTGATGGTTCACTGGGATGCCTGCCCCTCTTGAATGGTCTTTGATTTTACAGTGAGCCTGGGCTTCTGGAAGCTGCTGATGTTGGGACCACGTGCTCTAGCCTGTCAGGAGCTTGTCTAGCTGATATCCCCTGGGCATCTCTGAGCTTTAGGCTCTTGCCTGCCTGTGGAAATAAGCAAGTGAGGGTAGAGAGGAGGGAAGGCCTGTCCATCATAGATTCTGATACTGCCTCAGAGGGGTGAGAAGATTAGGGGAAGAGAAAATAAGATGCCTTCAGTCATCCCCTCCTTCCTCTAGAAAACCACAGGTCAGGTGCCTGATATAGGCCATGGTTGCCATTAGCAGGGTCATCTAGGTAGTAGGGAGTTTACATAAGCAGCAGAGCAGAATGTGGCTGACCTTTGGCTTCTGTGTCGAGTACCTTAGGCAAAATGTATACATGTTGTTATGTCTGTGGGATTCTTTGCATAAGATACTGTACTTGGTTGTCAATTATTGGAACAGTTATCCTTGTTCTCTCGGAACATTTTAGTCTTTAAAAAAATTTTTTTAAGCTTCTAAAGGGATCTAAGTACTTGGAGTGGGAGTGGGGAATTGGGGCTTCATTCAGGGATTCAGGTACCAGTCAATGAGGATTTATTGAAGGCCTTCTATGTGCTTAGCCTTGTGTTAAACACTAGCAAGGTTACAAGCAAATGCAAAGTTCCTGGCTTTAAGATGAAGGAGGAGGAGAGAAAGGAATAGCATTTATTGAGCATCACTCTCTGTCAGTCACTAAGTAGACACTTTACATATGCGGTCTAATTTAATCTTCACACCAACTCTATGGGGTAAGTATTATTATCCCAGTTTTACAGATGAGAAAACTGAGGCTCAAAGAAGTTAAATAACATTTAGACAAGGTCACATATTCAGTAAGTGGTGGCACTAGGATTTGAACCCAAATCTGTCTCACTCCAAAGCCTTTTTCTCCTCTCACTATGCTATGAGGTCTTAAAAAATTATGATCTTGTTGGTGATATAAGCTATATGTCTCACCTCCTATCTGAAAAGATAATAATACCAGGTATTATGTGTGATAAATGCGAAGTGAGTGGTACCAGTTTAAGGAGGGAGAGATGAGTTTAGGGAGAGATGAGTTTAGGGTGAAATAATTAGGGAGGGCTTCACAGAGAAGATGAGATTTGAGTTAAGCCTCAATGGATGGGTGTTACTTAGTTAGAAGTTGTTGCTGTGTGCCCTGGAGTCAATTCTGACTTATAGCGACCCTATAGGACAGATTAGAACTGCCCCATAGGGCTTCCTAGGCTGTAATCTTTATGGGAGCAGATCACCAGGTCTTTTCTCCCATGGAGCCACTGGTAGGTTCCAACTACTGACCTTTCGGCTAGCAGCCGAGTGCTTAATCATTGTACTACCAGAGCTCTTTTAACTGTAAGTAGCGGAGAGGAAAGGGCACTACAGAAAGAGAGAAGCAACATGAACCAAAGTATCAAAGTAAGAAAGTAAGTTGTAATTTTGGGACAGTGAATAAATGACCCTGGCTGCATTGACTGTTGGAAACATTTAGGGAAATAAGGTTGAAAAGATAAATTTGTACTGTGGTGTGTCCTGAATGCCAAGCCAAAGCATTTGGTCCCCCCCGCCCCACCGCCCCCTGCACTTGTAGGCTAGGGAGAGTTATTAAAGGAATATCTAGAAAAGATGATGGTACACCAGAAGTTTAAAATCTTTGATCCAGGAACCTTGGCCACCTATAGCTTTTGCCAAGCACTTCGTTCCTGGGAGTCCTTTTCAGAATGTTGTTTTCTTCTCCACCAGGTGACCCTGAGTGTCTTTGAGCTGGCATCTGCTGCAGGGGTCAGCTGTGAAATTGACCCAGCCCTGGTGGCTGCTGTTGCCAATCTGAAAGCTGGTAAAATAGGGGAAAGGGGGCAAGGGAGGGCTTTGGCCCTATTTTTGGGTGGGAATATGTCAATGTCAAAGAAGACTTTATCTGGGGTTGTGAATTCAGGGGATATAATTTGGGAGCTAAGGAAAGACCTAAAGTACAGATCTTAGTCCCTAGAAAATACTGACTACATAGGCAATTTAGATTTTACCTCAGGTTTCAACCAATGGATCTACCAATCAGCTAAAAAGTATTAAACGAGAGTCTGGTGCTTAATAAGTGCCCAAAGGAAATTACAATCTGGTTAGGGAAATAAGATTAATGCAAATGAAACAGCGAGAGAACAATACAAAATAATACAGGATTTGTGCTAAGTTGTGTGATGTAGCATCTAAGTTTCCCACAGTGATCTTGTACTCTCCCCTCCTACATAATCACCTAGACACTGTTCACTTCTTGCTCGGTCTTAAACTTGTCTCTTATATTCCATTACACATTTCGTCTGATTAGCACATTCATACTTATCGACTCTGAATAGGATGCAACAAAGGGGCTGGTGTTCTGCCGCTTCAAAATTGCCAGACTCGCCCTCTCTTGCTTCCTCTCTCTTGATAGATGAGAGCCTTTTCCCCTACTCTCCTCTCTTTCCCATTTCTCCACCCCATCCGGCAGCTGGCAGAGCATCCTTAATTGCGTTTCAGCAGAGCCCGTAACTAAGAGCTCTGCTCAGTCCCAGAAGAGGCCTCCAGGACTCAGGCCCCTCGCTATAGGTGGATGCTAACCCAGTCCCCTTCAGTAATAATAACTTGCCTATAGTGCTTTATAAAGTGTTTTCATAGATATTTTCTCATGATCCTCACAGCAATCCTGTGAAGTAGGACCCCTATAGAAGATAACTCCTATTTGTTGATCTTATTCACTTTTCTTCTTTCTCCCTCTCACCAGATACTTTGTCCCCTGAGGAAGAATATAAGGTGGCCTGCCTGCTCTTGATCTTTACTGCAGTTTCCCTCCCACTCCTTGCCACAGATCCTGCTTCCTTCTATAACATTGAGAAGGGTGGTAAGTAAGGAGTAGGTTTGATGGACCAGTGCTACTTAGGTTAGTATCCCAGGACAGGGAGATGAGATGAAGACACTTGTCTGGAAGATACAGACTTCTGACTCAGATGTAGAGTTCTGTTCCAGAAAGTATCTGAGAATAAACTTTGCATACAATTCCACTCCGATGAAATTTCTTTGGAATATTCTTCCCCTAATCTCAAAATGCAGCCCTGATGGCACAGTGGTTAAGAGCTCAGCTAACCAAAAGATTGGCAGTTTGAATCCACCAGCTGCTCCTTGGAAAGCCTATGGGACAGTTCTACTCTGTCCTATAGGGTTGCTATGAGTCAAAATTGACTCGACAGCAATGGTTTGTTTTTTTGGTAATCCCGAAATGCCTTCTAGCCCTTTTGGTGTCACATAGGGATAGGCCAGCATGAAAAAGTGAGAAATTACCATTTGGGGTCTCTTGGAGTGGCTTACTTTGTCATTTCCTTTTGTTTCTCTCCCTCTGTCAATAATCACTTAGGTTACAACAATAATATCCACTGCTTGACCAAAGCCATCATCCAGGTGTCTGCTGCCCTCTTCACAGTCTACAACAAGAACATTGAGACTCACCTCAAGGAATTTCTGGTGGTGAGTAGGTCTAGGTTATAAAGAATGCAAGACTGCAAGGTCTGGTGAGACTGTTATTGTTGAACAGGACTTTGAGATCATCTGGTCTAATCTCCCACCCAGTTCATTCAGTAAATAGTGAGAGTCTACTTTGCGAAAGGGGGGATTTTCTTCTAAATTCCCTAATAGCTAGTATTTCAGTCTCTACCTGAGTGTTTGAGGAGCTCTGGTGGTGCAGTGGTTAAGCGCTCAGCTGCTAACTGATAGGTGGGCAGTTCGAACCCACCAGCTACTCCAATGGGAGAAAGTAAAGATTACAGCTTTGGGAAACCTATGGAGCAGTTCTGCTCTGTCCTATAGGGTTGTTATGAGTCAGGATTGACTCAACAGCACTTAACAATACCTGAATGCTTGGAAAGATCATGGGACTTAAAGTCAGGAAATCTGGATTCTCATTCTGAATCTGCCACGAAGAAGCTGTGTGACCTCTGAAGAGTCAAACTTTTGGGACCTCAGTTTTATCGTTTATAAATAGGGGCATTAAATTGGATGCATCCCTTGGCGGTGCAAATGGTTAAAATACTCGGCTGCTGATCTAAAGGTTGGAGTTTGTAGTCCACCCAGAGGTGCCTCTGAAGGAAGCATTGCTGATCTACTTCTGAAAAAGCAGTCATTGAAACCCTGTGGAGCACAGTTCAACTATGACACACATGGGGTCGCCAGGAGTTGGAATCTACTTGATGGGGACTGGTTTGGTTTTTGGTTAGGGTGAGTCCAGTCCTCTGTGTTTTAAATAAGCCTTCCAGGTGATCTGATGCACATCAAAGCTGGAAAGACAACTGATTTTTATCATCTATAAGACCCTTTGAAGGAGCTCTGGTGGTGCAGTGGTTAAAGCGCTCGGCTGCGAACCGAAAGGTCGGCAGTTCAAACCCACTAGCCACTCTGAGGAAGAAAGATGTGGCAGTCTGCTTCCGTAAAGATTACAGCCTCAGAAACCCTATGGGACAGCTCTACTGTGTTCTGTAGGGTTGCTAAGAGTCGGAATTGGCTCGACAATAACAGGTTTGGTTTGGGTTCCAACTCTATTACTGGTAAATAGTCAATGACTAGTGTACATCAGAATCACCTGAAGAGTTTCTGATGTCAGTAGATCAAGGGTAGAGCTGGACAATTTGCATTTACAAGTTCCCAGGTGATGTTGAAGCTGCTCATCCTGAGACCTCACTTTGAGAACCACTGGTCTAGATTTCTAGGCCCTGGAGCTTAAAACCAGGCAGCCTATTATACTGTAGGTTGCATCTAAGTGTTGGAAAAAATGTTTTAGCCAAAGTTTGACTCCCTGTAACTATCACCATTGATCTTAGTTTTGCCTCTGGAAAAACACTAAGTAATCTCTTTCCAGAGTTGAAAAAGACTCCAGAGTTTTTCCATTCCTAATCCTCCATGAAGGAATCCTGTCCACACACTTTGAATAAATGGTCCATTACCCACTGCCTGCTTGGGTCTTCAGTAATAGCAGGCTTATCCCTTCGCAAGGCATAGTTCTGGTTTAAGAACTAGGGCCTTGTCTGTCTCTTTTCAGGATGAAACAGTTCTCTCAGGAATTATACCGTTGTCCTGAGAAGTACTTGTCAGTGACTGAAGCTTAGTTAGAGGGTTTATTTAAGCTGGAACCACCAGTCCATTCTCTGGAAAGGGCTCTGAGCACCTTAGCTATAGAGGGAATTCACACTAGATCTCTAACATGGACCGAGAATTTCCCCCTCCTTTTCCTTTATAAGGCCCCTGGGTGGTGCAAATGGTTTGCACCTGATTGCTAACATAAAGGTTGGCGGTTCAAACCCACCCAGTGGTACGGTGGAAGAAAGACCTGGCAATCTGCTTCCATGAAGATTCTAGTCAAGAAAACCCTGTGGAGCAGTTCTACTCTGTAACACGTGGGGTCGCCATGAGTCAGAATCGACTTGACAGCAACGGACTTCATTTGTTTTTTATTTTTCCCTTTTACCCTCTTTGTTTGCTAAATGCAAGTAACGTGGGCCTGGGATATAATTAATCACCTTTCTTCCTCCCTCCTTGATATGTTGGGGCCCTGCAGGTAAGTAGAGATGGCAGTCATTTGGGAGTTGACAGGAGGAGAATATCAAGAGCACTGGGTCTGATTCAGAGGCGAGCTCTGTCTCTAATGGGTGGGGAGTCAGCTGTAAACAGCCTGAAGACAGTGGTATCCGGAGGCCTCATAGGAAAGAGAGACTCATCTCCTGGCAAACAATATCACCTGCCTTTGTCCTGGGTTCTTTCCTTGCACCTTACAACCTCTACTCCAGCCCCCCAGTAACATTCAGGAACGTTCAGGGTGTCTGCACTGGCAGACCAACAGGATCCAGACTGGTTTACAGGCAGTGTTCGTCTCTGAAACCTAGGGGATTTGCCACTTTTCATCCCGAGTCTTCAGGAACATCCCAGCCCTTCTAAACTCTTCTCGATCTTTTCTTAACTTCCTGTAGCCTGAAGTTGTCCTACTCTGACCTCCATAAAAATATGCTTCCTTACAAATTCTTTTACAGGTGGCCTCTGTCAGCCTCCTGCACCTGGGCCAGGAGACTGACAAGCTGAAAACCAGAAATCGGGAGTCCATTTCCCTGCTCATGCGCTTGGTATGTATCTGGTTTAGGCTGGTCTGGGAAGAGAGAGAAGAAGGGCCACAGGGAGACTCCTCTTTAGGATCTTTGGGCCCCTGTCATTGTCATCACTCAAAAACACGTCTGACTGTCTGGGTCCAGTTCTTGCATTCTAGTTGACATTCTAGACTTGTCCTGTAATCCTAGAGTTTTCAAGAATTTCTCTGCAGGAAAGAGCCTTCACGTCCCCCAGCTGAGTGGGCTTCTTTTTCTAGTGCTGTTGAGTCTGAGCTGGCGGGGCAGCTGTGTACCTCATTTGTAACTACCTGTCCGGTACATGTTTGGCTTTACCTGACCTCTTCCCACCACTGTATTTCTTGTCTTTATGAGTACTGTGAAGAGGGCGCTGAAGAGCGTAGAGCTGAGCTGAGGTAGGGGAGGCAGTACAGGGGCTCAGAGGAGGGAAGGGATTTTAGCTGAAAAACTGTAAGGCAGAGGGAGCCAAATGGGCCACAAATCAGGCAGCTCTTGCTCTCTCTTCTCTTTGCTTCCCAAGCCGTGGCCTTTCCCCTACTCTAGCAAAAAGTTCTGGGACCTCTGACTCAAGTTAACTTTTTAATCTTTTCTCATGACCCTGTTTGCCTCTTCAGGCTTACTCATTCTCTTGCTCTAAAAGTCTGATTCTTCAGGTTAGTACTGCCTTTAAATATGGATGGGAGGGGCTCCTGCCCTGGGCCTCCTGTTTAAGAAGCCCTCCTTTGCCCCTTCTCTGGCTCATGGGGAGAGCATATGCCCAGATGGAGCCTGTGTGCCCCCTTGAAGACCACACTCAAGATATCTGGGGCCCCAGAATTCCTTGCCAAGGATCTCCAGCCCACTTGCAGGGCCTGCGTGGAGCTTCTTCCCCAAGTCCATCCTACTGAGGCAGCCTGTGTTACTGGTGGGTGTCCTAGTGCCTAAGGAATGTAGCTGGAGTTTAGATGTGCAGATAGGAAGTCATGTGTATGTACAAAGTCCCTCAAGCTGGGGCGTGGGCAGAGAAGGTAGATTCGGCTGGGGCTGGTTCCTTCTCTTCATCTTATTCTGGTGAAGAACTCTGAGGAGTCTAAGAATTCTTAGTTCAAACCTGGCCCCCCATGAAATTATAAAGGTATGTTGCAAAGGTAGAAAGAGAGAACATAATAGTTTGTTAGCTTAATTTATTTAGACATATGGTATATGGGCCTCCATTTGTATCCTTGGCCCAGGCCCACAAATGATGGGGGTGGGTATGTCTGGGACTCCCTCCAGGTCTTCCTGTTTGAATGCACAGGCATCCATGTGGCATCGATGTCTCAGTTTCTCCAGCTAGAAAAAGGCCTAGATTGGGCTGAAAAAGGATTATGATGGAGAAGAGAATGGAAATGAGGGTGTGTGTGTGTGTGTGTGTGTGTGATGGAAATGAGGGTGTGTGTGTGTGTGTGTGTGTGTGTGTGTGTGGTGGTGTGGATGAAGGCAGAGGGAGGGCAAATGCTAGTAGTGTGCCAGATAGAGCACATTCTTTGGAGCAGCATAACCTGCTGCAATTTAATTAACCTTTCTCAGACTCTGATTCTTCATCTATAAAAGTAGGAAATGATCCTTATGAGTGGTTAGGATTCATGAGATAATATATGTGAGTGCTTAGTACATAGCAGGTGCTCAGCAAATGTTATTTCCCTCTCTCTGCTGTTCATTTTAGTTTCTTGATGATTTAGGTATGCCTCTTCATTCCCTCTGGCTGTCTCCACCTCTGTAAGATTGCAGGTGATTGTTTATTGCCACACAGCCCTGCCTCCTCCTGCTTTACCGTGGTGCACCTATCCCAAAATTGTGGTAGAGAGTCTGCCCCTGTCGGCCTAGCAGGGAGGCCAGAAAACTGGCAGGAGCAGAGCTAGGACCAGGCGTTTTTTTGGTTAGAAGGGGAAGCAGGAGGGACTAGCTGCTGCAAAGCAATTTAAACACAAATGTTTCCACAGAGAAATTGGAAATGACTGAAGGGAAGAGCTGTATTCTGAGCTAAGGGCCTATTCATGTTGCCCCAAATCCTGGCTGGGCACTTCTCTTCCTGGGGCCTTTCTGTCTTGGCTGTCAAACCTGGGCAGTGCCCACCCTCAATGCTGCCAGCCTGTGCCTGACATGGATTTCATGGGGGAAGAGATGGCTGTCTAATAGAACCATGGAATTTCAGATTGTCAGAACCAGACCGGGTCCTGGCAATTAGTCCAGTCCTTATAATTCATGGGTGAGGAAAACTGAGGAAGAGGGAGGGAAAGATGACACCCAAGATCTCCCCCAAAATATATGGCAGATTTCAGACTAGAACCTAAGTGTCTGGACTTCACTGTGAGGCTGTTTCCACTACCCTAAACTTCCTCTAGTTAACCTCAACCAGTTGCCGTCAAGTCGATTCTGACATATGGCAACCCCATGTGTGTCAGAGTAGAATTGTGCTCCATAGGGTTTTCAATGACTGATTTTTCAGAGGTAGATTGCCAGGCCTTTCTTCTGAGGTGCCTGGGTAGACATGAACCTCCAACCTTTTAGAGCCCTGTTTTTTTCTTGTACTTAGTGAAGAACAGAAAATCTTGGGTCAGTGAACTCCTCTCCTTGTACTTGAAGATAGTATTGGAAAAGAGATCATATCTCTCTCCTGGCTTAGGGTTGGAAAGTCTTGCCCAGCAAGTAATCTGTTATCAAACCTAAGATCATGGCTCAAGTTTCACAGGCACGTTTCCTTTCGTTCAGTTTCTGCTCTTCTGGAGCTGTTGTGTGCGTTTTCTGTGTATGTACTTGAGAACAGCAGAATCTTACAAATTTGAAAACTTGAAAGGACTTCAGAGAAAGAAACTAATTAGAGTTATATGGTAGGTTCTTTTTCCTTAGTGCTTTTTTGGGACTTGAAATATCAGACAGACATATCGGGGAGGGCCCACCTGTGTGCGTTGCTGGAGGATATGGGACACTTCTCTCTGGGGTGTTTTTTTTTCAGTCCTACAACCTTTTGGATGATGAGAGTGCTGAATGTTAATATACCCTGCTCCTTCCTCAGGGATGGGGACCCTCCAGTCCAACACTAAATTGTGCTGCTCTTCTCAAACCTGCCCCTTCCTCCCACCACCCCACCTGCAGTCTTATCCAGGCATAGTGATCTATCTTTCTGCTTGGCTGTGGGGGCTGCTGGGACTACCACAGCACTCAGGCTCCTAATTAAACAAATTAATCATGCCTGCTCCTTTTTGCAGCATCCTTACTCTTCCCCAAGCACTGTACTGACAGAGGGAGGGAGGGGACTGAGGCCCAGCACAAGAGGACTTGGGTGGATCACAGGCCCCTCTTCCTTGGCCTATAATGGTGATTGTTTCCCTCTCTGCAAAACACTGTAATTAGCACTTTTATCCATCCTTACCTGCATTCGTGCTGCCCACCTACAGATGATTTAGCATCCAGATGGGAGAGAATGGGACTTTTTCTGGCACTAGGGAAGCGATTCTTTCCTGCCACCTGTTTCTGAGCCCTTCACATAGTCCTGAGGAGGGGGAACAAAATCAAAAACCAAAGCCGTTGCCCTTGAGACGATTCCAACTCAAGGTGACCCTGTAGGACAGAGTAGAACTGTCCCATAGGGTTTCCAAGGAGCAGCTGGTGGATTCAAACTGCTGGCCTTTTGGTTAGCAGCCGAGCTCTTAACCACTGCACCACCAGGGCTCCAAGGAGGGTGACAGTGGCCATTATAATGGAGCTGGAGAGGCCACCCTGCCTTTGTAAATCCAAACTAAGTGAGAGAAGAAGCGGGGAGTGTACTTTGGAACCCTGTTCACTTGTAACTCTAAGGGCCTCAGAGGACCAAGGGAGCTAAGGAGGAACAGGGTGTTGCGGAGGTGTGCCCTACCTGACGTTCTCATCTCTTGGCCCTGTCTCTTCCAGGTGGTGGAGGAGTCATCCTTCCTGACCCTGGACATGCTGGAGTCCTGTTTCCCTTATGTCCTGCTTCGAAATGCCTATCGGGAGGTTTCCCGCACCTTCCACCTGAACCGGGTGCCTGCCAGTACACACTGAAGGCTCTTTGGGCCTACCGAAACCCATGCCATAGTGGGAGCTGTGGCCATTTTCTCAAGGGTCAGTAGGGGAGGCTCAGGAGCCAGAGCTGATGAACAGGCAAACAGAAACAATCCAGGGCCGAGAAATCATAGAGAAGTGGGGCAGCCTGGGGGGGAAGTTTACGGGAAAAAATGAGGGTGCTGGGGCCACATATATGAATTTTTACCATGAAAAATAAGTGGTCTACAAGTATGTTTTCTATCTGCTGGTGACTAGAGCTTGAAATTTGACTGGCATGGGTCTCTCCGACCTTCATCACTATTCTAAGGTGATGCTGGAGGGGCAGAGATGATCAATCATCATATTAAACCATAATGAGCTTATAATCCTCCCACTGGAGCTGCTATTGTCTCCTGCACATTCATTAGGACGATTATTTCCTCTCTTCCTTTTCCAAATGCATTCAGCAAACATTCAGCCTGCTTCCACTGCAGAGTAGTAGCAAAGAAACTCCCCTTTTCCTTCATGGGGGCTCTTTTAGGAGTCACTGAGTCTCTTCCTCTGCCTCTAGCTCAATTGCCTTTCCTACCAGGGCAATGAGGAAGTGCTTTTTAGAGATTTTCACTGCCCCCAACTCCCTGCACCTGTTCTACTGCACATTGTGGGTAATGAGCAAGTTCTCTCAACTGTTTAACTTTAGCCCTGCAGGCTTTTTCTTGGATATCTCCACAACCCAGAGCAAAGGGTCAGTCTAGATCAGTTCTAGGTTATAGGACAACTCATTGGCCCAGAGTCATGTGGGTTTCCCTTCCCATACCATTTCGGGGTACTTTCCCTCCTACCAAGGAGCCCTGGTGGTGTAGTGGTTAAGCATTTGGCTGCTAACTGAAAGGTCAGTGGTTTGAACCCACCAGCTGCTACACTGGAGAAAGATGTGGCAGTCTGCTTCCGTAAAGGTGACAGCCTTGGAAACCCTATGGGGCAGTTCTACTCTGTCCTGCAGGGTCACTATGAGTCATATTCGACTTGATGGCAGTGGGTTTGTTTTCCTCCTACCAGGAGGGACTCGTTTAACCCCAGAACACCTTGCCAGGCTGGGTACAGCTGTTGCTCCAGGCAGGGATTTCTCTTCTAGATCTTAAATTTCACAGACCTCATTAGATAGTAGGGCCCTGAGATTGGGTATCCTTGAGGGAGTACAAGCTGTTTCAACTTAGCCCTTTTCTGCACTAATTAGAATTTCAAGTGTCGCAAAGCCCGGGGCGTTCAAGATAGCACTAAACTAGGTTTGGTTAACTCCATGGCAGGAAACAGCGGCCCCCATCCATCACTTCTGTGTACCCACTACTAGGGAGAACTGGAGCAACAGATCGTAATGTCAAAGGCCTAGAGTGGCTGAAATGGGCAAATATAATTAACTAGTTGCTTAATTAGGGTCATGTTCATGCTTCTGTGCTGAAAAGGAAGCGATTATTGGTTTTCAGCAAAACCATCTGGCCTTCATTAAATCTATTTGATAGCTGTTTTTGAATTTTGTAGGTGTGTTTGATCTTTATTTCTCTTGTATCTCATTAGAGACCCAGGCTTAGTCAATACTTTAACTTGGCACTCATAGTCAACTCACAAATTTTTTCTTAGCAACAATTGTCTGCTCTTTAGGATAGATAGAACAGAGGATCCTGCTTCATGCATTAGCTAATTGTCCTTCCTTGCTATGGGAAGGGTATTACTTTCTAAGGAGTGATTCAGGGTCTAATCTGTTGTTGTTGTGTGCTGTGGAGTAGATTCTGATTTAGTAGAACTGTCCCATAGGGTTTCCTAGGCTGAAATCTTTTTTTTATTTTTTATTGTGCTTTAAGTGAAAGTTTACAGCTCAAGTTAGTTTCTCATATAAAAGTTTATACACACACTGTTATGTGACCCTAGTTGCTCTCTCAGTAATGTGACAGCGCACTTCTCCTTTTTACCCTGGATTTCCCGTGTCCATTCAACCAGCTCCTGTCCTTTTCTGTCTTCTCATCTCGCTTCTGGACAGGAGCTGCCTAGGCTGAAATCTTTATGGGAGCAGATTGCCAGGTCTTTTCTCCCACGGAGCAGCTGTTGGGACCTTTTGGTTAGCAGCTGAGTGCTTAACCATTGCACCACCAGGGCTCCTTAGGGTCAAGCCTACTGAGACTGTGGTAGCTGGTGAGGAGGAGAAGATTTGGAAGTATCTGAACAACTACCCTTCGACCCTTCTGTCTCTGCTGGGTTCTTCAGCTTGAAGGGATAGAGATCCATTTCCTTCTGCATCAAGTGCTTAAGAGGAATCTCCCGAGAACGGCAAGACAAGTTGCTGCAGGAGGATAGAGTAAACATAATATATTTTATCTTTTTTTTTTTTAATTGAAATTTTTATTGGAATAACTGATTCCCATGCACTTGGAAGGAACAATACAGGGAAATCCCATGTACCCTTTACCAGTTTCCTCCATTGGTAACACCTTGCAAAAATCACAGCCAGGATATTTACATTGATACAATCCATTGATCTTATTCAGATTTGCCCAGTTTTTCTTTTACTTGTTTCACTGTGTGTATTTAGTTCTACACAACTTTATTGTTTGTATAGGTTTGTGTATCTGCCACCATAGTCAAGATCCAGAACAACGCCATCACCACAAGGATCTTTCATGTTACTCTTTTATAACCATATCCGCCTCCTTCATGCACCATCCCACTCCCCATTCCTAACAACCGGCAACACTGATCTGTTCTCCATTTCTAAAATTTTGTCATTTGATACAATATCTTTTTATAAACATATAATGACACATGTATTTCTTTCCCACCTATACTTTTTCAAAGCGCTTTTGCACTCTCGTAATAATTCGGCAAGGGCAGGCTTTTCTATTATCAGATCAGGAAACAGATTCAGGGATGTTAAATGATTTAATGAAGTTCACATATTTAGCAGTAGAACTGCAACTGGGACCCAAGTCTGATGTTCAGTCCTAGACCATTTCTACCTGAATGTATTTCCTCTCCATCTGGGAAAACTTAGTTGTTAGAATTCTGAGATCTTGCTAGAATGAACAAATAGGAGAAGGTGAGGACATGATGGCCTTTACCACCTGAAACAAAAGATGAACATCTAACTGGAGGTGAAAGGACAGATGAGGTAACAGGACCCATCAGTATTTCAAGCAATTTACTTCCATGACTAGGAGGGTCAAAGACCTCTTATAACCTGGGACACAATCAACTATGAACTGCTTTCTGCTCTCAGATCCTCACCTAGCTTTACTCAGGCCCAAAAACAATCGAGGAATGACTATCAGGGAGAAATTCTGACCTTGATTGTTCTGTCTTGCAGGCAGAGAGTAAGTTCTAGTCTCAGCATTTTCATTAGCACAGTGTTTTCATTAAAATCTCCATTAACTTGTTTGCAGCAACGAGATGGAATTATCCCTCCCACCAGTCCTGGGGCGAGATGCTTGCAGAGGAGCTCTCTTTCCTTTGGCCAGGAGAAACACTACCTACCTGACGATGGTGTCCAGTTCAGTGGGCAGGCGAGGGCAACCTCGAAGTGCAGTATGGGGCCTGGACAAGGGGATCCTGTCCTCTAGCACTTTGCTTGGAAGGAAGGGAGCAACTGTGGTTTGAGCCCCATGACCCAGGGTTAATGGCCAGATCTGGGGGAGGGGCTGATCCAAATTCATTTGCTGTAGGGAGGCTGAAAACCAGTAGTGGCTCAATAGCCTATCTGTTGAACTAACTGGTCATTTAATATTTCCCTTTTTGCCCCTAGAGCTCAACCTTCCCTTCTTTGGGGATTATTAAAATCCCAGAATTGTAAAATGTCAGAGCAAGAAGAAAGCTTTGAGATTTAGTCTAATCCCTTATTTTATAGAATAGGGACAGAGAAGTGAAATGAAATGACTTATTCAGGCTCACAGAATCAAGACTAGAACCTTTATCATTGAACTTCCATTATTTATACCACTGTCTTTGGCTGGGTTCTCAAGAGAAGCAAAACCAGTAAAGTGTATATGTATATATCTATACATATACATGTGTGTGTGTATATATATATATGAAATGTATATATATAATGAAATGGCTCATGAGGTTGTAGAGGCTGGAACGTCCCAAGTCCATGGGTCAGGATAGAGACTTCTCCTGATTCACGTAGTCGCAGAGGCTGGTGAACCCGGCGAACCCAAGATCAGCAGGTCAGAGAGCAGGGCTTTTGCTTGCAGGCTGTGAAGATGGATGAATCCCAAGACTGGCAGACAAGACCCAGGTAAGCTGCCAGCTCAAGTCCCAAGAACTGGAGGTCAGATGAACAGGAGCCAGCTGCAGGATCCAGCATGAGCAAAAAGCCCATGAGCCTTGCCAGAATGTCCACTTATATTAGATGCAGGCCACACGCCCAAGGAAACTCCTTTTCAGCTGATTGGCTACTCACAGCAGATCCCATCATGGAGGTGATCACAACATCATATGACTGCCAAACCACGGAGAATCATGGCCCGGCCAAGCTGACACACAACCTTAACCGTCACAACCACATTATTAGAAGAGATCAGTTACAGCCAGTTCAAGGGCACTGGGAGTTAAGAGTACAGTATTTAGGCCCTAGTTTAGCAACTTAACAGGAAAGCTCATTCAGGTTTGGGATTTGATTGGGGTTCAGGTGGACCTGTGAAGATGTTGGAGTGGGGAGGGAGGAAGGTCCTAGCTAGAGACCAAACCAAACCAGTTGCTGTTGAGTCTATTCTGACTCATGGAGACCCCATGTGTTAGAGGAGTAGAACTGTGCTCCATAGAGTTTTCAATGGCAGTGACCTTCTGGAAGATCACCAGGCCTTTCTTCCAAGGTGCCTGTGGGTGGACTTGAACTGCCAACCTTTCAGTTAGTAGCTGAGTGCTTAACCGTTTGCACCACCTAGGTGGCCTCTGCTAGTGACGAGGCTTCTTTAATCTTATGTCCTCATGCTTATGTCAGTTCTTCTCCAACAAAGTTTGACTTTGAGAGGAAGTTGGCACATGGTTGAAATGCACTCACATGGTTGGGGGAAGAGTGTTCTTCCAGTCCTCCTCCCCACCGGGCCTCCGGCTTCTCTTAACCTGTCATCAAAGGAGATGAAGATGAATCCCTCCTCAGCCCCCACACCTCAATGAGTTGTCAAGTACTCTCCCACCCACCTGAATAGAAAGCAGGAGCAGCAGGCCAGGTTGCAGGTTGAGGAAGTCAGAAGTGAACTTGAGCTGAGTTTGCAGCTCTGGAGAGATTGAGGAGCAGACTTTTCTCTTGTCATTTTGGAAAGAGAGGATTGTGAGGCCGTCCCTTTAAATAGCATTCCCGTAGGAGGTAGATCACATCCATCCGTCACCTGCTGCCAAAGCATCATTTTGGTCTCTGTCAAACTCAAAACTTGTTGAAAGGGATTATGGGGGTAGGGGAGTGAGGAGGCAGGGTCTCCAGGAGGCAGGGGGCAGCTCAGAAGCTGAAAAGGAGAGAGAGGACTGAGGTTGGGTAGAAGGATGCAGGAAAAGTTGGGGGTGGGGAACAAGAGGAAGAGACAGGGAGAAAAGAATGGTAGTCTTTTGAGCCTATGAATGGAACAGTTATACCTTGTCCTTAACCACTTTCGAAGTGGGGTAAGGGAGAAATGGGATTGAATTGCAACAAGAGGAATAAGGTTGAGGTTAAATGCCAGGACTAGTGACTAAAGAAAGAGAAAGAGAGCCACATAGTGGAAAAGGCACTGGAAAATGTTGGGAGACTTGTCAAAGGAGACTAGACTAGATGGTCTCTAAAATCTCTTTCAGGAATAACTTTTTTTTTTTTTTTTTAGTTCTAAATTTCCCGTCTCTTAAAATGAGTTAGGAGTTGGGAGCATGGAAGGGCAGGGGTGGTGGTATGCCACTGTATTGACAAGAAATACTGAGAGATCCCTCTGGAAGTACATCTGCTGCTTTCTCACCTCTTCTAGTTTAAATACCTGCTTAAATCAGGAAGCACTTTAGCTCTGACCCTAACTTCCTAATTAAACTCTTTAGTTTTAATACTGATTTGCAAATCTTTTGTAGTCCGTTCCTTTTTCAGTTGATAAGAATGAGATTGCTTCCAAATTTTGAGAATTGGATTGTGTAGGAGTGTGACTGGGGTCTCCAATGCAGCTGTATCTTGGCTGGCACTTTTTCTCTGGCAAGGAAGGGGAAGTGGAATGTGTGCTGAACTTAGATGGACAGAGAAGGGAAGTCCCAGTATTCCTTCCACTTTTTTCTCCGTCTCTGACTCTGCCATCTCCTTGTGTACTTCCTGGGAGCTGGTTCAGCTGATACTTTTGTCCTGCTAGATTTGAAAGCCTGACCTAACTTGGCAATTCTTTTATGTTGGGAGTCTGAGCTGTGATAAGCCTTCTTTTTCCTCATGCTACCACTTCACTTCTTTTCTCCTCCATTGCCAGGGGAGGGGGGCCTCTACCAGATATATAGAAGAGAGTAAATACCTTCTTCTAATCACCCTGCCTTCCAGCTTCTAGAGTTCTCGAAATTAAAATTTACATCCAGGGATTCTGTATTAGTGGCCTGTTTTGGATCCAGCAGTTAGTGAATGCTATACCCCCACCTTCTTTTACATAGGATTTTCCTCAATGCCAAAGTAAGTGGCCATGAGGGAGGAGAACAATCCTAAGGAAGAGAGGTGGTTTCTGCAAGAGTCTCAGGTAGGACTCAGTTGGATGGAAAAGGCTTTGCCCTGTTACAAGCTCTTGAGTTCAAATTCCAGTTCATTTGTTCTACAAATGTTTATTAAACAGCTAGGCTGTTTTGTGTTGGGCTTTTAGCTTTTAGATTTCTTTCACTGAAGATGGATAAGAGGAAATGAGCTGGAACGGTGCAGGAGAGATTGAGATGAGTATCAGGAATGATTTCCTGGCTGTATAGAGTCGTATGTAGTCAAGGACGGTATGGTGCTGTCTGATCTGGAGAGCTTTGAACTTGGGAGAAATTCCCACCGGACAGAGGTGTAGTTAGAGGCACCGTGAAGCAGGCTGGGCAATGGAGACAGGGTCAGGAAGATCAGGCTAGGCGAGCAGAGGAGAGATGTGGGATGCCATCATAGCTCAAAGCAGACCATGAACTTTTCCCTTCAAAGACAGGAGCTCAGGTGTGAGGACCTGGTCTGAGGCAGGGTTCACTCAGCCAGAGTGCCCGGGCTCCCCAGGGAGAGCTCTGGGCTCATCCGTACCCCTCCCTCACACACGGCACACACATGCAGCCAGGCTACACGTGGATATATGATACCGCACACACATACGCAGAAACTCGAAACGCACACCAAGTGAACCTACACAACCACCCACCCCGAAGTCCTGCGTGCCTCCTCGCCCTGCACTCGGTAAACACGCGCTCACATACCCCCGCGCGGGGTACGCGCGGCCACTCGTACCCGGCGCCTGTGTGCGTGAGCTCGCTCTTAGGCTCTCCTGTCTGTGCGTCCCGCCAGCTTCCAAACGTTCCTTTGGGAGAGGAAGGAGAGGCTGCGAGGAGTGAGAGACTGGCGGGCAGGCAGAGGAGAAGGGAGGGGGAGCGGGGGGTGGGGAACCTGGCCGGGGGAGGAGGAGAGAGGAGAGGAGGCGGCTCTGGCAGCGCGCGGCGGCGGTGGCGGCGGCAGCGGCAGCGGCGGCGCGGAGAGCTCGGACTAGGAGCCCAGAGCTCGACTGGGCAGCGGGAGAGGAGGAGCCGCAGAACTGCAGCTCCGCCAGCTTGGGCCGAGCCTAGAGACACCAGCCTGGCTGGTCCACGCCAGCTGCAGGTGGGAAGGGGGCCGGGAGTGGGGTGAAGGTCTCCAGCTAGGGGCCGAGGCTGAGTCGTGGTCCTGTCTCCTCCGTCTGTTCCGCAGACAGAGGCAGAGCATGGAGCTGTCCCCCTGCAGCCCTCCCGAGATGCTGGAGTCGGATTGCCCGTCACCCCTGGAGCTGAAGTCAGCCCCCAGCAAGAAGATGTGGATTAAGCTTCGGTCTCTGTGAGTCCCCGACCCGGGGGTGGGGGGAAGGGACCTTCGGGAGCAATTGGAGGAAGGGTAGCCGGAGCGGGCTGGTGGATTCTCTCAGGCACACATGTTGGCAAGTGCGAGGAAACACGGCTCTAACACGCATAGCCAGGCCACATGTGCGGAGCAAACCGGCTGCTTGGAAGGGGCTTAGGAGTTTCAAAGCTCGCGGTGTGCCTGTGGACCCCCGGGTGACACACGCAGCGGAGAGGCGGCACAGTATATGCAGTGTGGCAGGGCTGCAGACCAGCAGCATTCAGGAGGTGCCAGGCTGACTCACACGTATCCATGTGTGCAGCTTGTGCAGATGTGAGACACGTCACATGTGTATAGCATGAGTGTCCGTGGGTCACAGGTGCATGGAGAGTGATTGCACACAGCTGCAGATCTAGTGCATGGGGCTACTTGTGCCAACCTGTGGGTAATATGCATCTCGGTTGGGATTGGTAGTTTCTAGCTCCTGCGTTCGACAGGAGGTGGGGGTGGGGGCCCATACCTGAGGGCGTTCATCTCTCCGGAGGCCTGGAGACTCACTCTGCATATTAATAATGTGGGACCACTTAGGAGCTGGGGGTGGAGCCCCCACCTGGGAGCTGGAACTGGGGATGCAGGTGAAGAAAGATTGATTGATGGGGCAAGATAACTGGCTTGATCAAAGCCTTTTTGTATCTATAGAGCCTCCCCGGATCTCCAAGCATATTTAGGCATCTTTTCTTAATGTTGCAGAACCAGGGCATGTGGGGAGGAATAAATGGGGAAAGGAAGGACCCAGGTGTCCCATATTCCAGTCCGGGGGCTTGGGAAGAACTTTTCTTTCTCCTCCTTAGAGAAGGAGAAGATTGGGTCAAAGACTAAGCTATCTAGTGTGTTTACCTCTTAGTCTGCTACCATTGGGTAATTTCCACAGTCTGTTGATTCTTAATCAGAAAGCAAGGGAAGGTGCCCCTCTCCCTGAGATGACTCCCCACGGCCCCAGGAAGGAAGCAATGGATGGGAGAGTATGGATGTTAAGTGAGAAAATACAGTAAACTTAGCCCTAAATCCATCCCCTCCCCAGTATCCTCAATAGTTAGCACTGAAGCTTTCCATTTCTGGATTCTGGTGGAGGAGGAGATGGATAGATGCTTCTGATTGTGTTGTTTTTTAAATACTTCACCTGTGGCAATAAGCTGATGCCTTTATATTAGGCAGGTGGGTCTGATTTATACACTAGCTGCTTAGAGAGGCCTTGGGGAGAACTGAGGCATAGTGGGCAACAAGGCTTGGCATCCAAGTGTGCGTCTCAGTCTCCCTCACTTACTGCTTCTAGCCAATGTAATTTAGTGGGCTCTATGAAGCGCAGCCTTGAGTTCTGGGCTGAAGAAATGGAAAACCGGATTGAACTGATTTTTGTTGGGAGGAGCACTGGGTGATTCTTGATGGAAAATGATGCTCTGTTAATAGTAACTAAGCTAGAGAGATCGGCAGGTAAGGAAGTGGTTGAAAGCCAAAGAAGGGACCTCAGAGTCTAGAAATTAAGGTGTCTCAGGATGGCTTCCCCATAGCACTAATGGGTCATCATTTACTTCCCTTGTTTCCATCCCAGGTAGCCAGACTCTAAACTGGGTTTTACCAGTGTCACTGTTTCCCACACCTTGCTTACCAGAAGTCTTTCCTGAAAACAAATTGCTATTTCTTCCTTTGGAGTGAGAAGTGCTCAGTGGTGAGAGAAGAAGATTCCCAGAAGGAGGCATTGAAACCTGGAGAGAGAAGGCAGTAGAGGCAGCTGTCCCTACAGAGTGTGTTAGCTGAGATGTCCTTACATGAGATTAAGGTAGACAAGGATCACTAATGTTATTTATTCGATTATTCTGGTCTTCACTCACTCTAGTAATCTGGTCCTTAAGAATGCTAGGTACATGTAATAACTTATCAGGAAAAGTACCATCTCCTGATTCTTCATCACCGGAAAGAGATTCCCAAGCCCTCTTTCTCAAAGCAGTGAAAAATCTTGATATCAAGGTAGATCCCAAGTCGATGGCCCTGTTTGAATGTTGGGGAGGTTTTGACAATCAGATAAAGGGAAATAAAAGAATTTAGGACTTTTGCTGGATAGGAGGGAGAAACTCTCCAACTCTTAGGGCTGGGTGGTTTCTGAAGAGGGGAACAAAAAGGTGTTTCTTCTTTAAAATGAAAATAGAACCTCCTGCCATGACTACCTGTCCCCAAATCGGCCTGGGAAGGGGTTGTTTAGTCTGGAAATAGGAGGGTGGACAGGATTATCTCAGGATTGGGCACTGAATGGAAATGAGGACAGATGGATTATATATATATATATATCTATCTTTATATATATCTATATCTTTATATACAGATATATCTTTATATATATATATATCTTGATTTCCTTACTCAACACATCCTATTTTCACCCTCTACCCTTTTAGTTTTTAATCTAGGACATCTATATTCTCTTCAGGGAGGCTGGGCCTGGTGTTTTTACCTCTGGAAAACCCACACTAATATAGTTGTGCAGGGCAATTTCTTGTTGGGAAGGGCATCCAGGAATTCTGTTTCCCACACTAGAACCCTGTCAGGATAAATTCAGAATCTGGAGCAGGGAAGAGAAAGTATGAGCTGGAGAGAGTCTCTACTTTGGGATTTCATCTCTACGTAGGAAGAAAATTTTAACTAAGCGGACTTATGAATTTAGGCATGAGAGAGGTTGGGAGAGGCAGTCTGGAGATGATGGGTTGGCCAGGATGATTTTCAGCATCTCTAGCCCTAAGATGAAGGATTTGACTTGCCTGCCCACTCTTCTCTGGGATCAGGCCTTACAAAGTGTGGGGAGGGCCAGCAGAGGTAGAAGGGACTTTCTATGTCTTTTGTGAATCAAGAAAAAACATGGACAGAGATTGGTTTGTCATCTTTAGCACGTTCATTCATTCAGCAAGCAGTTACTGAGTACCTCCTGGGCCAGGGGGTGTGTTAGATGCTGGTGATACAGTGGTGAACAAAATGGATATGGTCCTTGCTTCATAGGAGCTTATAATCTGGTTCAACTCCATCAAATGGTTTTGTGAAGAGTTGGGGAGGCACTCTGTTCCTCATTTTGCTACACTCATCTAAGTAGTGAAATTCTACCACCCTGAGTTTCTGCCTGATCTTTTCCTTATGGGGGGTTACACACACAGAAAAAGCATAGATATTAGTTCTCTATTCTCTCTGCTCCATTTTCTCATGAAACGCTACATTTTACAGACAGGACTTAATTTTTCTTTGGGGATATTGTAGATACGGTATCCCTTATCCTTTCCCTTATCCTTCCCCCACATGATACACGCCCAGTTACCCCAAGGTCCAGGCTCAATGTCCTGAGCTGTGGTTCAAGGTCATTGTAGCTGAGCTGAAGCAAGGACTCAGTTGGATTTTTGTTTTGCTCATCCTTTGTTTCACCAGAGTCTAGTGTGGTACCTGGAACATAATAGACACTCAATAAATGCTGTTAATTAAAGGAAAGAACAAATGAAGTAGTCAATATACATGCTTATGTTATGGAGCCCAGTTCTCTCTCTGATCCTGTAGTGCATATATATCTGCATGCAGATGGAGGGAGTAAGGAATGGGGATGGAAGAAAGGGAGATGATGATGTTGTTTTTGAGGCAGTGATGCAAAGAGGTGTGAAGTTTGGAGACCTCAGGACAGAGCCTGGAACTGAAGGCATTTCAGAGAGGATACAGAAACATGTTATTTGGATTGTGTGAACGAGACATGGCAGGATAAAATCGTGCATGCCTGCCATGTATACATATGTGTGAGGGGTTGATGTGCATGCCGGGGACATTTTGTGTCCATCATCTGTGATTATGTCTCTTTGTTTATATATGACATGTGTGATAATATATGTGTTGGGAAGGTATGCACTTACCTGAATACCTGAAATTGTCCTTCTGTGTGAGTGAAATGATGTATGTGTGTATGTGTGTGTGTAGGTAATGAGATAATACATATGTGTGATCTTGTTTGTGGCACACTCACTCAATTTTTTTGATAATCCTGGGGAGTTCAGTGGGCAAGAGGAGAAAGCTGAGGGGCTGCACTGGGTGCCTCATTGATTCATCCTGCTTTTGTCCTCATTTTGTATATGCTCCATGGAGTGAGCTTCTGTGGTTCTTACCAGTTTTGAAAAGCGTACTGCCATCCTCCTCCTCTGCATATAGCTGTGGAGCTGCTGTGAAGATTGCAGGATAAACTGTGGCTCCCTGGACCTCTGGAGAAAAAGGAGCATCGTTTCATCTGGCCTTGGCGGGATGATTTTTAATGCCTTCCTCCCTGGACTAGCCTCTCCTCCTTTATTTCTAACCATGGCAGGTGCAATTTCTCCTCCCTGGTTTTTAATTCCCTACCCACCCCAATCAGATGCCTTCTCTCTCTCTCTTTCCTCCATCAGCTCTGTCTTGAACCAGGATTGGGTGGTATCTCTGGATGTTGTTGTTGTTGTTGTTGTTAGGTGCCATCGAGTCGATTCCAACTCATAGCGACCCCATGTACAACAGAACGAAACACTGCCTGGTCCTGCACCATCCTCATGATCGTTGTTATGCTTGAGTCCATTGTCGCAGCCACTGTGTCAAGATAGTGGATAATTCGTGCAGCAAGGTAAAGGGGAGATGCAGGGGTAGGGGAAATCAAAGTGAGATCAAAGAAAGAATTTCACAAACTTCTAGTCATAAAGGTGGCTGGAGGGAATAGGGACGCAGTGTGGTGGTAGTGGAAGAGCGTAGGTATTGAAGTTGGGAGACTTGAGTTTGAGTTCACTTTCCCACTATGCCAATTACTAGCTGCGTGAACTTGAAGTCAATTTATCTCTCTAAATCTGTTCTGCATTTGGTATTATTCATCTGAAAGATCTTTCAACATGGGAAATCTTGCTGTGTGCAGAAGCAGGGGAATGGGAATGAGTGGGGACCACTGGCTGGGATCGGGGAGAGAG